TGGATGAGAATGAGTTTTAATAGCCTGAGAAAAGCGGAAACAGAAGTATGTGCTATGCTTGAGGCTTATAAAGTCAAGCTCAATGAAAATAGTCGCTGGTTCGATTCTCGATACGATGGACTGCCCTGGCTCGACTCCTGAGCCTGGTTTTTCACATCTTTAAACACAAACTCTAAATTAATGACAATGCTCGTCTCATTGTCCGTCTCTATGCATGCTTTAAAATTTCGGTGCTCATAGTCCGATCATTATGTAAATTGTATATCGTAAGCTTGGCATACGAAATGAGATATCTTACGGCTTCGGGAACCTACCTAACAAGCTTCTTTTAACTAGCAATTGTAATCCTCGAGCTATGCTTAAACATCCAATTCTTTTATCATAAATAAATAGCAGAAAATATCGTACAAACTTGTTCTATATAAACTTATCATATGAGAGTATATATATTTGTACTTACCAGTCGCTGGTTTGTCAAGTTTCCAAGCTGGTCTCTTTGATCCAGAATATATTCCTTCCGTCCGACTTCTTCTACCTTTAATTATTTTCAATTTGTTCTGAACAAAATCTTTTTGATTCGAAGTTAGGCTCGACAGTATTTTAGCTAATTCGGCTTGAACTTCGGCTTAGGCTCCGTTTTGAAGAGTTAGCTACAGGCTAACTCAAGGGTATCTGTGGGTCGGACACGCTCGACCAGCTCGCTATGTGGCTTTCCTTTGACTAATGCTGTGCGCTTAATTGTAGCCCAGATACGCAAGATCGGCGCTGGCCGGCTGAAGCAGGTGCTCCGCTCGCTGGGCGGTTGGCCGGTGATCGAGTCCAATTGGCAGCCACCAGCCGAGCTGTCCGTGGAGCAGCTGATGGGCAAGCTGCGGCTCAACTACAGCGAGTCGGTGCTGATCGAGCTGTACGTGGGCGCGGACGATAAGAACAGCTCGGTGAACATTATACAGATGGATCAGCTGCAGTACGCTCTGCCATCGCGCGACTATTACCTGAAGCCGAGCAGCGTCAACGATCGGCAGGCTTATCACAAGTACATGACCCAGATCTCGCTGCTGCTGGGCGCCAATCCGGCCACAGCCGCGGCCGAGCTGCAGCAGGTGGTGCAGTTCGAGACGCAGCTGGTGAATGTCTCGCTGGCGGAGGCGGATCGACACGATACGAGCGCCGTTTACCGCAAGCTGTTGCTGCCGGAGCTGCAGCAGCTGGTGCCGGAGCTCGACTGGAGCGTCTATCTGCAGACGGCGTTGGGCGCAGACATACAGCTGCAGCCGGATGAGCCGCTGGTCACCTACGGCCTGACCTATCTGACCGAAATGGGTCGCATACTGAAGCAAACGGATCGTCGGGTGGTGCACAATTATATGCTGTGGCGTCTGGTCATGTCGCTGATGACGCACATGATCGACGAGTATCAGCGGGAGCGTGTCGAGTTCCGTAAGATTCTGATGGGCATACAGTCGGAGCGTACTCGCTGGTCCCAGTGCGTCGAGTGGACCAATAAGAAGCTGGGCGTGGCCGTTGGCGCACTCTTCATCCGGGATAATTTCAATCAGGATAGCAAAGAGGTCGCCCTGGAGATGATACACAACATAAGGGCGGCATTCAATGAGCTGCTCGCCGAGAATCATTGGATGGACGACGAGACGCGCGCCGTTGCCAAAGAGAAGGCGGACTCGATGAACGAACGCATCGGCTATCCGGAGATTCTCACCAATGTCACCGAACTGGAGCAGGAGTATGTGAATGTAAGAAATTATAAAAGAAAAATAAATCCCCCCCCATTTTCCTGATCATCCTCTGTTGCCTTTGTTGTCCTTAGCTAACGATCGTGCCGGATAATTTTATTGACAATGTGCTGAGCATTTTGCAATGGGAGTCGGAGAAGCTGCTGAATTTGTTGCGCCAGCCGGTGGACAAAGAGAAATGGACCACAGAGCCGGCGGTGGTCAATGCCTTCTACAATCCGAACAAGAATGATATAGGTGCGGGTCATCTGCCATCGATCTGCCCCAAGCGAAGATCTGTTCGACTTAAATTTGTCGCTCTTTCAGTATTCCCCGCGGGCATTTTGCAGCCCTTGTTCTACAGTCAACATTTTCCCAAATCACTCAACTATGGCGGCATCGGTGTGGTGATCGGACACGAGATCACCCACGGCTTCGATGACAAGGGTCGGCAGTTCGACAAGGAGGGCAACATGATGCAGTGGTGGAATAATGCCACAATCGAGGCATTCCGGGAGCGCACCCAATGCGTCATCGATCAGTATTCGCGCTACAAGATCAACGAGGTGAACATGTACATGGACGGCCGCATGACCCAGGGCGAGAACATAGCCGACAATGGCGGCCTCAAGCAATCGTTCCGGGTGAGCAGCAGTCCCATACTCTCTAATCTCTAATCCCTAATTGAGCTCCTCTCCGGGCTTGTTTGCAGGCCTACAAGAAGTGGGAGAAGCTGCATGGACGCGAGCTGCTGCTGCCGGCGCTGAATATGACGCACGATCAGCTATTTTTTCTCAACTATGCGCAAATCTGGTGCGGCAGCATGCGGCCGGAGGATGCGCTTACCAAGATCCGATCCTCGGTGCATTCGCCGGGCTTTGTCCGCGTCCTGGGGCCGCTCTCCAACTCGCGAGACTTTGCCCATGCCTACAGCTGTGCCGTGGGCACAACCATGAATCCGGCGAACAAGTGCAGCGTCTGGTAGTCGTGATCGCGATCACGATCGCAAGGTCACGGTCGTGATCGTGATCGGGCTCTTGGTCGTGCTCGCCAGCAAAGAGGCTGCGATCACGATCGAGATCTTGGTCATGCACACGATCACAAGGTTTTGATCATAGTCCAAATCGGGTTCATGATCACGCTCAATGTCTTGATGATGATCACGATCGGGTTCTCGAGATGTTGATCGTGAACACGATCAGGATCATGGTATTGGGTGCACGATCACGATCAAGCTCAAGATCTTGGCCATCATCTACACAGCACACGCTTGATCATGCTCACGATCACGGTTATGATCATGCTTTGCATAAGTCTATTTTTATATATATACAAATTATATATATACATATATATATATTTATATTTATATAACGTATAATACTGCATCATCAAATGAAGGGCGTCTAATTTTTTTTTTCTCAATTGTTGTTGTTTTTTCTTGTGTGATTATTTTTGTATTTTTTTTTTTTTTTTTTTTTTGTACTTTTGTTATAGGGCGATAGTACAGACATAGTATAATATCATATATGTATGTACAATATAACTAATTGTATTTGTATTTGTATTGTAATATATATATATATATTTATGAATGCCATATCAAAAGAGAAAAGAACAACAAACTGAAACGCCAACCGAGTCTCCTGTACCCCCTACAAAACCCTTACCCAGTAACCAGTTATCGGTAACATCCGACAAAAGGAAACAAAAACAAATCAAGCGGCATTAATTATTCTTAATAAAGTAAAATAAACAAAAAATGTAACAAAACTAAACTATTTATTGGAATTGTTTTATAGCGAGAGTCATCTATTGACTATGCGAACCAAACATTTGGAATAATACGTGATATTGCCAGTGCTTAGATATCACAGCTTTTATTCTCTGTGGCATTATTGTCTACCCTCTCCTTGTAGAGGGTATTTTAGTTTTGTCATGAAATCTGTAACGCATATCAGCAGATATCTTCGAACCCATAAATATATATATATATATATATATATTCTAAATCGAGTTATATATCATTTCTATCTGTCTGTCTTTTTCTAGGCAAACTTCTCTGTCTTCTTCTCTCTCTTGAAACTTTGCAGGCAATTCATATTTTGGACCCGGAACTGACCCCTATATCATATTGCAGTAGATTCTTGTATGGAAAACTTGCTCTTATACTTTAACTTATCAAGATATCTTAATCAAATTCGGCATTTACTACTTATTTAAACAAAGCTGTTTATATATTAGTCTAATCTAAACAAGATTACATTACCATATTATATAGCTCTGTTTAGGAAAAATCGAAATAAATTTCCTAATGGAAACATTAAACTCAGCTTTACTTTTCTCACATATCTGCAAAGCCGCACGGGCATATTTCTACAAGGGTATTAAAACTTCGGCGTGCCGAATTGCGTTTTACTTTCTCGTTTTAAAGTTGCTTTCAAGGTTGGCGGAGCAATTAGCCCCAATGAAAAGTTTCTTTTGTATTATTGGGCTTTAGGAACTGTTTCTTAGTCATCCAAGTCTTGTCTTTTACTGCTAAAGTTTCAGTTTGTGTCTTTGTTGTCTACATTGGAGTCTGATACTTATGTCTGCCATCCCATAGATTGACTTAGTTGTAAGGCTTTGCTAATAAAACCTCCCATAGAACCGCATTTCTGTTGCAGTCAGTAAATATGTCGAATCGGGCAGATCGGACACCTATATCAAGAATAAAGCACAATTTTGTTTTTTATAGTATCTAGTCCAAAATCGCATCAACATCAGTTTAGTTGAACATATAGTTCTTCTTGAAAAGAGGAAAACTTAACTTAACTTTAACTTAAACTATTTTTAGATATCTTTTGTACTCTCTTTGCATATCATCAAGCCCGAAACTAATTACATGACTTCAATAGGAACAATCGTTACCGAAAATGAATTTTTCTAACCACATGACGAATGCGTTTGACTAAAATAACTTACTTTAAAACAGCTACGACTGATTGTTAGTCAACTTAAGATGTGCGTCGTGTAATGCATGATATCAGGACACGAAATTAATGAGTTTCTTAACCAAATCTCATAAAATGAACAGGATTCGTTTCCACGAGCCTGTTAAGTTGACTGCGCCTGAACAGTACACGATTAGGCGCAGCCAACTTAATGCTTAGGTGTTGCCAGATCGTTTAATGAACTAGCACAAAAGTCTAGCATTATGTTAATCATTGACATCTTACGCCCTATCTAGATATAAGAGAATCTGTTTTAAGTCAAAATAACAATTTCCTGTTACATTTTCAACAATTACGATATGTTTGTGCGATTTTATTTTTTGCATAGTTTATATCCAAGTGGCATTCAGATGCCATTCGATGCTATTTACACACATATATATAGCTTATATAAAAGGCATATATATATATATAATTTATAACTTGTATATGGTATATATTTCGTAAAATTTCGTTGGGCCACCGCACTGGCGCCCCACTAAAGCTATATAGGTCCATCGTAGAGCCTAGTTTGTGTATATATATATATATTTATATATATATATATATATGTATATCGTATAGGGATTATATAAGTCGTATAACGAATATATATATGTATTTGCATATATAGTATACTGTTATAAAAACATCTAGCAAAACACAGTCCGTTGTAAAAAGCGATAACGGTTACTGTTCCGCCTAACAATTGGTACAGTAAAAGAAACCACACTAATAGCCATTGGAAAGTCAGCAAAAGATCATTGGAAGCCGCTGGAAGCAGTCTGTCTAGGCTAAACATATATCTATCGGATACTAATAGCCACTGGAAGCGCCTGGAAAGCCGCCAAATGTTTTGTCTCAACACTTGAAGAGTCGCTGGAAGCCGCTGAAAGGACAATAAATACTGCTGGAAGAGCATTGGAGGCACCTTCTTCTAGACTGACCAAGTGAACTTAAATAAAAACACTGGAAACTGTTGGAATGAAATAAGTGCTGCTGGAATGTCACTGGAAGTTTTGGAAGCTGCTGGAAGAGCAAGAAGTGCTGCTGGAATAATTATAAAGAAGCTTTTGCAACTAAGAGCTACTGGAAGGTGATTGGAAGTCGCTGTTGAATGGAAGTGCTGCTGGAAGTGAACATAAATCATAAGCTGTTGCAACTAAGAGCTACTGGAAAGTGACTGGAAGCTGTTGAACGAACAAAAAGTGCTGCTGGAAGTGAACATAAATCATAAGCTGTTGCAACTAAGGAAGGTTACTGGAAGTCATGGTCAGATTAATGCAAAGTGTTTCTTAAGCTTAACATTGGTTCCACTGGAAGCCGCTGGAGGATTACTGAACAATAATCGGGATAGCGTGTGTTTTGTTCAAGGGTTAGATTCACTCACAAGGAATACTGCGTCATCGTCGTCGTCTTGGGAACTAAAGAAAACATTCCGCTCGGAATTATCACACATGCTTATGCTCTAAATGGATATTACGTTTTAAGTCTGGGCTTGTGTTAGGTACCTGGAGCAGCCGCTAGATGCGCAACGTTCGACCCGCCGCGGAGCCGGAGGCCCTGCCCGCCGCCGGAGGCTGCAGAGACCAGCGTTGCTCATCGGCGCTGGCAAAGATTAGATAGATAAAATTGCCAGCGATATTGAGGCCCGCCGCCAGCCAGAAGACAATGTGCCACTGGGTCAGGGTCTCGCGATGATTGATAATCAGCCCAATGACATAGGGCGCCAGGAAGCCGCATATATTCGCCGCCGAGTTGGTGATGCCGTACATGGTGCCCGCATAGCGTGGACTGAGCGCAATGTGATTCATCTGGTTGCCGGCATAGACGGCACCGCCAAAGGAACCGACGCCGGCGAGCATGAATGTGACCCAGACCCAGTCGCAGCCCACGTAGATGATGCCAATCAGGCCCAGCGAGGGCACCACAGAGGCAATCGTGTTCCATAGCTTGTAGGAGTTGAGCAGCGTTATGTAGCGGCGGGCGAGCATCCAATCCGCCAGGGCGGAGCAGGCGATGCCCATGAACCAGGAGGTTAGAAACGGCACCGCATTGAGCAGCGCATTCGATTGGATGTCAAAGTGGAGGATGTTGCTCATATAGGTGGGCAGCTCCGTTAGCTGCGTGTAGAAGGCCCAGCTCTGGCCGCACTGCGTCAGCAGAATGGCCCACAGGGGCACGCTGCCGAGCAGCGAACGCCAGGGTATATCATCCAGTTGCGCCAGATCCGGCTCCTGCTGCTCCTCATCTTGCTCCTGCTCTTGCTCCTCCACCAGCAGCTGGGGCTGCTGCATCTGCAGCGAGCGCTCAATGTAGGCGCGCTCCTTGCGCGAAATGCGCGGATGATCGCTGGGCTTGTCGTACACCAGATACATCCAGCAGGCGAACCAGACCAGTCCCAGCAGCCCAAAGATATAGAATGCCGACGGCCAGCCGCCGAGAAAGTCCTGCGAGCAGAGCCAGCCGGTTAGGGGCATGGAAATGACGGTGCCAATATTGGAGCCGGCATAGACAATCGCCGCGAATTTGTTGCGCTCCAGCGGCGGTATCCAGTGCGCCAGCATTGCATGCATGGCCGGATATGTGACACCCTCGCCCATGCCCTCCAGTATGCGCACCAGCACCAGCAGCGGCAGATCCCAGTGCGCCGCCAGCGGCGTTAGCAGCGTGAAAATTGCCGTAATCAGGACACCATAGCCATAGATGCGTTTGCCGCCAAGCAGCTCGGCCATGCGGCCGCCGGGCACCTGGGTGAGCACATAGCCATAGAAGAAGCTGCCCAGCACCAGACCCTGGGTGGCCTCATCCCACACAAATTCACCCTCCGACGGCGGCAGGCGGCGCCAAAAAGTGCCCAAGGAGGTGCCGTTCGACGTGGGCGTCGGGCACGTATCGTTGGCCAACACGGAACTGTTGCTGTGCGGTATGGCCGTCTGGTTGACCATGGCCACAATGGCCACGGAGAGATTCACGCGCATCGCATAGACGACGGCAAAGCCGAGAAAGCCCATCAGGCCGAAGATGTGACGCGTCTGCAGCCAGCTGTCCGCCTGGCCCAGCTCCTCGGCAGCTGGGAATACGGCGTGTATTCAGTTTGAATAAAAATTGTTTTTTTTTTTTTTTGTTTTTCTTTGAAATTACGAATTTGCGATTTAGCCTACCTCTGATGAGCGGCCTGTCGCCGCTGCAGAACGCCTGCCGCTCGTCATCCGCCTCCGTGTCGTCATCGTCCGCATCGCTGGAGGCGCCACCAGCAGCGCTTGCAACACTGTTGCCATAGTAACAGGAGGCGTCGCGCGTTTCGTCTGTCCATCGGTGCGGCGGCATCTCGGCAGCCCAATTTCAATTGTTGCAAATATCTTTCAATATGCTTCTGCTTTTTTGGTTTTTATAAATTGTTTCGCTTTTGCTGCTAGTTCTTGTGCAATTGCCAGCACATTTTCTCTTTTAACTTTTCCAGCAACAACAACAAAGACAACAAACGACAGCAACGGCCAAAGACAACTCACCAACAGCTGCAGCTGGCAGCGACTGAAGCCAGCAGCAGCAGCAGCAGCAACAGCAGCGAGCAGCAGCGAGCAGCAGCAACAATATGTATGTAACTACAATAACAATAACAACTAACAACTAACTCTAAACACAGCCGAAATGCTATATAACTGTTGTTGTTGCTGCTGCCACTCTGCCTCTTGCTCTCCCTCTCTCCCACTCTCTTTGGCTATGTGCTTTTGCTGGTACGCTCTCTCAGGCGCGAGTGCTCAGCAGCTTTGCTTGGGAAAGTGGAGCAGCAACAACAGTAAATACAGCAAGTGAATGGCCATTTGACGCGCGCGCGCTCTCTCTCCCTCTCACACTCTCGCTCGCTCACTTTTGATCTCTCTCTCTCTCTCTCTCTGCGTCATCAAGAGCGCTGAATTTGAAGTGAAGGCGCTTTGGCGGATTTTTGTTAAGTACCAACAACTAATACTTAGCCATTGTTTACATTCAGTTTTAATTCCCACCAGCTCCATATACAAGTGCATGCATGTGTGTGTGTGTGTGTGTGTGTGTGTGTGTGGGCATACTTTGTGCCTGTAAGTGCGCAATAGAAATGCATATGTATGCATGCATATTCATAAAAGGGGCAGCCATGGCAAAATTACAATTTTAAGCCCAACGAACTTTGAATGCCCTAATTAAATGAAATATATAACTAGTTTACGAGTTTAGCTAGAAATCATACATATATCTATTAAACATACGTGTTTAAAAATTTTAAATATAATTTTTAAAATAGTATTATAAAAACAAATCAGCGAAAAAGAGTATTATGCGAAAGTTTTTCAGCTATACGAATTTCAATCGAGTGTATTCAACACGTGCATAGAGTATTTCCTCTATAGATATATTATATAGGTACCCAAAAGCTAAATAATGGATTTTTCGCTATAACGAGTTTTTATGCATACTTTTCTACATAGGCCCTATATAGGACTATATATATATATATATTTATATTTATAACTGGTTTATGTGGAATATATTTTATCAATATAGCCTACAAAATGGTGTCGATTGATGCATATTTATAAATATATATATATGCGCATAAAATATATAAAATAAACTACCAGATTTTCTGAAATTCGTAAGCCGGTGAGTGTAAAGTTTCGACAGATAAGTATGGTCTAACCTTCAATATGAATGTTGATAAAAAAAAAGAGTGCTATCTCTTAATTAAAAAGTTAAAGCAACAATTTGACCACTTAATTTCCGTTTGCTGACTTTTGATATTTAGAAATATTTAGCATGATTGTGAACAAAATTCGGCCAAAGTTGCAACAAAAAATTTTTATAGGGTAGCGGGGCAAAAAAGCTGTAACCTAACAACAGTTATAAAACAGTTGGAGCAAAGCAAACAAAGCTCTTGTGGATTTTAGATAGCTCCATATGAACTTTTAGCCTGAAAAATAATTCTTATAATTTATAGAAATTACTTAAACGAATCAAGTGAGTCATACAATTCATTAGAAAGATATTGCTAATCAAGCCCTGATAAAACGGGTATTCATATAATTTCGGGTGAGGGCAACGAACTTGTTGAGCAAACAAATACGCACGCCCCCAAAAAGTTGCGGAGAGCCAGCGAGCGCGAGCGCGAGAGAGAGAGAGAGAGAGGGTGGGTGGGTGGAAAATATTTGTTATACCCTGCAAGTGTGTGAGCACAAGGGGTATAATAATGTGCTACGATTTAAAGGCTATTCTTAAATTTAATTACAATCGAACGACAACAGCAAAAGTCTCTTCTCATTCCATCACAAACGAAAGGGTATCCACGTAACGATTTAAATGCCATTCTTAAGTTTTTAACATTCCATTATAATCGAACAGCAGATTCCATTGCAACAAAGGGTATACAGACAAATTAACGAGTATTCAGGCTGATTTCATGTGGGATGCATATACAAATTTAAATGCTATTCTTAAATTCTGATTTCATTCTAATCGAACAAACTTATTTACGAATCAGCTATGGCAAATGTGAAATGAGCGCAGCTCGTCACCGTTTACAGGGTAACTGTTAGTCGTGCACACTTGATGCATGCCACAGGCCTGCAGAACCTTCTACAATTGACAGAAAAAAAAAAAACAAATGGCAGACAAATCGGACATATATATGTATATATACGATCGGGATAACAGTCAGTTAAAAGCTAGTGGAGCACCTTGTGAAGCCTTGCAGATCCCCGTCCAACCGATCAGTTGGCGAAGATGGTGCCGACGGCAAAGACAATGATCTTGCGCTTGTGATTTGTGGTGAGCGTCTCAAAGTGGTAGCCATTGACGATCTTGGCATCGCTCTTGCCCGCGGCAAAGGAGGGCTGGATCGGGGCCAGATCGATGTTGTAGCAGTTGATCATGAAGATCTCGTTTTTGAGCAGGGCGCACACCTCATAGGGGCTGGCCAGTTTCTCGTTCCAGATGCTGACCGAGCCATAGGCGAGCGTCTCCTTCTGATTCACTTGGGTGGCGTCTTTGGGTGTGCGGAAGGTGTGCATGGTGATGATGCCCGTGGGTCCGTCGCCCAGAAAATTATGGAATATATCGCTGACCAGCATGGGCGTGGCATTCGCTGGCACAGTCTTCGGATTGCCCACAATTGTCTCCGCCTTCAGTTTCTGCAGTTTGGCCACCGAGCGCACATAATTGGGATGATTGGCGATTTGCGGATCGAGCGGCTCCAAGCGCTGGACGACGCGCTCCAGAAACGAATCGCGCACGCTCTCCTGGATGAGCAGCGTGGCCACCGCGTTCTCCGCGAACGGATTGTGCAGCGAGGCCAGCAGATGATGCGTGGCGCTGTTCAGATCGCCATCGTCGAACACCATCATCAGGCAGGGTGAGTTCCACTTGTATAGCACCGGCGAGTGCTGATCCTTTGGCTCGCCGGCGGCACCGTCGTCTTCGGGCGTGGGCAGCTGTTGTAGATGCGGCGTTTGTCAGTGTCAAAGGTTAAACGCGTCTTACCATGCGCATGCACTCACCGTTACTTTGCGCTCCTGGACGCATTCCAGCTTGTGCACCATGCCGTAGGTGATCACTGATGTTGGCATTATGGTAAACTGGGCCGTGTTGCCCGGCTGATCCACTTTCAGATTGTCGGACATCACGCAGAATGAATTTTGCAAAATGGTTCACAATGGAAAATCCAGCAAGAACGGCGATTATCACGTTATCACTGCTTTCGTTATCTCTCTCGCTCTCTCTCTCTCTCTCTCCCTCTCTCGCGGCGTGAGCAGTAATTGAACAAGCGACGGTGTTGCCCAACCGCGTTTTAATTTTAAAATTTAATTCGGATCAATATTTAAAATAAACGTTTAACATGTAATATATAATGTCACAATATGTCGTAAAGTGTCATTTGACAAGAATAGAATTTTGTTGTATTTCAATAAACATGCGCTACAATATTTACAATAATAATAATATAAATTGTTCGATAGCGACAGCGACTCTACAAAAATATCGATACATGTGTTAGCTGTATTGCAGCACTGGTTTTGGCACATGCTGTGCAGCCCTGGCACAGATTACGCCACCGCAACGTTGACGTCGACGCCGACGTCGCTGGGGGGTCCGCTTGTGTTGGACTTGTATTTTTTTTTTTTTCGATTACATATGCTATTCGCCTGCCGCTGCCCCATGCACAGTTCACATTCAGATTCAGATTCGAACTGTAAAGGCTCGAGAGCTGTTCGCGTCGCTCCGTCTGCGTTTCATTTTTTTTTTGTCTCGTACATTTTGAAATTCCCGTTGTTATTTGATTAACTGTGTTGCACTTGTTGTTGCTCTGTTGTATTGTTATTGCTATTATTGGTGTTTACGCCCTGGAAATCTGCAGCTGGCGACATTTGTTCTAAAGCAATAAATAAATAATTGCCAGAGTACTAGTGAAAATACCGTCAAATAGAAGACCAACAAGTGCGCGCTACAATTGCATTTTGCGGATTCTGTGTTCGTGTGCTGTGTGCTGTGTGTGTGTGTGTGTGCATTTATATATAGATAAATTAGTGTGCGTGTTTCGCCTTTGGCAGCGTACGTTCAACCAATTGAAAGTGAATTCGTAAATCAAAATAGAATTTGACAACAACAATAACACGCACACAAACACATAAAAAGGAAAGCAACTTTCTTAAAGTAGAACAATTCAAAATATTTGCACGAAAACAGCTGGCAAAAAACGCAAGCAGCGAAGTCAGCAGAGACAGCGACAGCGACAGCGACGCCTCGATTGTCTTCGTCTTCATCTCCTCCTTCTGGCTGTTGTTGTTGTTGTTTTTTCTTTTGTCAACAGGCAACAGGTGTGTGGGCGGCTGCGCAGCTGCATTGGCAAGAAGAGCTACAAAATGACCGACTTAAATGAACTCATGGGCTCGCAATTTGTGCGCGTCAAGGTAAATACGAGCAGGTGTTAATGGGGGCGTGGGCACAAACGAAGCCGGCCAAGAGCAACAACTCCCGCTCAGACTCACTTATTGGGCTGCCCGCTGGTCTAGTGTTAGATAACACAGCTCAGGTTCGGCTCAGCCGCGCCCAGTCTGGCAGCATTGCCCTCATGCTGCACCGTTCATTAGCGCCTAATGCGGCAGGCGGCAACTGAGACGCGGGCAGCTACAGCGACGCCGGCGGCGGCGGCGGCGGCGGCCAACCGCAAAAGCCATTCGATATGTTTTCAACATTTGCGGCAGCCAATTTGCAACTTCAGCCCGCTGCCGGCGGCGTCGCTGTGGGGCTTCATTTGAGCCGCTTACTCAATAGGCAAACAGCAAATGCAACTTAACGAAACTTTCCATATTCAATAATCGAACTCTTACCACCTGCCCACATACACTGCCACTCCCACCCGCAACCCTCTTTTAATCTCTCACACAGGTCGTTGCCTTTGTGCACTTCTTTTTCTTAACGTGTGCAATGATGGGCAAATGGGGGCATGGCGCATACGAGTTCTACAACTTCCTCTTTATCATTGCCATGTTCTGGACGATACAATGCAAGGAATCCATTGAGGCTGTCCAAACGGTAAGTTCATCAAATATCGAATTAACCCACACTGGCACACACTCCCACACTCGCCCGCTCTCTAACACTGTGCGCCAGTGTGTGGTGTTGCCACACTCTGTGTTTAATCTTCGTAATTCAATTGACGCTGACGCATCAGCCACGCATACAGTGCGTCTTATCAGTAGGCCGCCTGCATTAAAAATGCCCGCTTACTGATAAGGGTTCGCACTACCCCGCGTCCCGTCGCTGCTATTGTGCAATTCACGTACCATCAGCTAACAATTAATTTAAATTTGCTTTGTCGTTTTATTTGCGGCTAGATGATACGACCTTTTGTTTTTTTTTTATTATTTACTTTTTACTTATATGCCAAAACCGGTTCTGTCGAAATCAGAGAATTAAATTAACATATGCACTCGACTTGGTTTCTGTATGTTTATTTCCACGCTCGAAACTATAAATAACAAATGCGCTCACTCACTCGTTGTGCATAACCCTCATGCCTCAGACCTCTAGCTGCGGCGGGGGGTCGTCACCGGCCGCTATACTTTTGTGACCCACTGTTGCAGCAGCGCCATCTGTTGCCTGCCCGCCCAACCTGCTCGCTCCCACTTGGTTATATCTCAGCCAGTGCCAGCATGATGATGAGATGACATTGTTATGCGCTTTAGCCACATTCTTTTTCATATTTTTTTACTAGAAATTATATATAACCCGGCGTTGCTCGGTTGAAAAACGAGGCAAATACACAATCGGTTTAAGTCCCCCGCGCGTCGATGCAGTTTCGTTTACTTTTTCGATTTTCCTTGTGAATAAAAATATTTGAAACAAGAGGTTCTAGTTGGGAGCTCCCGACTTCCAACATCAAATGCATATTTATATATTCTATTTTAGAAGCTATATGTCAAATTTGGGGACTCTAGCTCTTATTATTTACCAAAATTGTCAAAAAAAACAGAATATTTAGCCCAATGAAAAATTAGATCCCATCCATTATGTTGTGTGATTTCTTAAGAATTCCTCAAGAATATTGTTTAAGAAACTGAATACATATTTGTTTACCTTTTCATTGATTAATCATGAGAGAGATCTAATGCAATTTCGAATCGTATTTTCCAAAAGTTCAAGCGATTTGCCAATCATTCATTTAGCTGAATAAATTTTCCAGCAATAAAATGTAGTAAATTTTATGCACTCTTTCTAAAAATACACATGAATTACCCCATTAAAAAGAAGGTCAATTCGAATAGTTTTTCTTTATAATATTTCTGGCATGTATTCATTTCATGCAATGAACGTGCTTTAGCACGAAAGCGTGCACCCAAACGTGCGTTCACTGTAGTTTTCTGGCACCCCAAAGTGTGGCAACCCTGTTCTGGAACTAGAGTTATCTCCGACAACCGATTCCGAATTGTGATTCACGTTACGAAAATAATGGAGCTAAAGATTCAAGATCAAGAATTAGGCGAGGATAAGGCATTTTTAAAAGCAAAGCCACACAGAAAACCACAAACAAATATAATAATAAAACTTAAAAAAAACTTTAATTAATAATACAATTTTAAGCTAAGCATTTCTTCGGCTTGGCCATGTGAGATTATTGCAAAACAGTTCGCGTTGGCCAAAACCACGTGAAGGCACGCTAATTATTTGGTCAGCCCGAAAACATAACGTAATGCCACTTATAAGGCATATGCACTGAGGTTTTTTTGTGGGCGTATATATATTACAAAATATATATGTATAGTTAGTTAGTTAACGCCAGATGCATATCGCTTGACTGGAAGAGTTAACGGCTAGCGAGCAGTTGGCGTGTCCGGTCTGAGCCATCAATTTGAACTTTGACATTACCCAAAATACGAGAACCTAACCGCCCACCGTCCCCCGCCTTCGAGCAGGTGCCCGGCAAAGGCTCGTAATCCTAGGTCGTAACGCACGCGATGCGCAATGCCACGCACGTCTACCAAGAAAGCAAACCCACGAAAACAAGGCAAGCGGCACCGACTGGCAGTTACCCTGTAAACACAAACATCCTTGTGGCATGAGCAGGAAAAGAACTTGCGTACTTATAGTTCGATTTTTAGGTCTCAAATAGATGCATATACCCAAAATCAGGTCTATATGTTGTTACATGACGCATCAATCGGAAGTTATACAAAATGTAAGTCGTAATCTGTCTCTTTCTTCTGCCTGTTACAAACGTTGGCAGCAAACCGTACTACCCGGCTTGTGGCCTAGTTAGCTATGGTTACAGGGTATTGAAAATAAAATACAGTTCCAACGGTCAGTCACATGAAAACGAAAGGTGCCCACACACACACACACACTCCGCCGCCCCCCCGAACAGCCCCTAGGGCCAGGAAGCAAATCCTTTTGTGACTCCTTGGGCCAACAACCATTAGCCACGCCGTTTAATCAGCTCAACTATGCAGTAGCCAAACGTTGACCCAAAAGCACTCCCACAAAAAAAAAAAAAAAAAAAAAACAAAAAGTAAAAGGCCAACTGGGGCATTACGTATTTACGACTCGAATGGCCTTTAGTTGTGCTATACCAAAACTTCGGCTGATCCCCAAAATTTTAACTGATGACAAATTCAACGAATTTTCAAATTTTCTTTGCTTTTAACCAAATGCATTTGAAATGAATGTTTATTCTGGGAATTGTCGAAATATGTTTTTTGCCTCAACAAAGCCTAACGAGTCTTTCTATTAATTCATATTTCTTTCTTTTAATCCCAAAGGTAGGCTATGAAAATTTATAGAAATAATATACAATTCAAGCTTTGTTGAGCTTTAGGCTTCAATTATTGCGCAGCTATGGCCTTTCCAAATGTTAATGTTAACAAAACAGAAAAATTTAACGAGTAACGAGTGAAGCTACTCGTTGCTTACAACGAATCATGGGCAAAACTATAAACTGCCTCCCAAATTGTTGCTGTAATAAGCAGCGAGACAAGTGAAATGAATAACGAGTGTGACTAATCGTTGTTGAAGAGCTGCAAATCAGGGAATTGTGTTAAAAATGGGAATTGTAATAGCCTTTATCGAAACTTTGTTTCAATTACTGTGCAGCCTTAGAAAGAGCGAGAGAAAGGTAACGAGTAACGAGTATAACTGTTTGCTGCGCACGGCGAATGTAATTCGAAAGTGCAAAGTGAAATATGTTTTGTCAATATCCTTGTATCAATTAAATAGTAGTCTTATTGTTGTTTTGAGGAAGAGCGAGAGAAATGTGACGAGTAACGAGCGTAGCTACTCGTTTTTCACAGTATTTTAAGGGTCGAAAGTGCAAAGTGGACTAGCTTAAGTTCTTGAGAAAAACTGCAAAATTGAGCATAATAAAAAAGCACACACCTTGAACGGGCCAAAAGGTGTGTCCAGCGTGTGTGCGTGCTCGGCTAGTTAAAGTTCAAGCGTTCAAGGTGAATGCAATTTAATTTGACTTGCCCGTGACCTATGGCAAGGCAGTTCCGACCTTATCAACAAGCTGATCATTATATTCATTGGCTAGCCTAACATTGTCATGTATATATTTTCTGCATTTTCCAGGCGCTTGTGATCAATGTCTGTAGCATATTCTTTGATCTAGTCAGCACTATCGTTAATTTCGACTACATGAGTGAGTACACATACCCAGCATGGCTTGGCCAGAGTTCATCTCAATATTGAACTGTACAGCTAGTCGTTAAATGTATCTAATGTAATTTCCCTCTTACAGATGGCTGGGCCATTGCGTTCTGTATCATCAATATGGTGCTGCGTCCGGTTAGCGTTGCCCTGCTCTATCGGGAGTTCAATACGCGTGGCGGCAGCCTGCAGACCGGCTCCGTGTTTCCTACCAATCAGCAGCGCAGCTATCAGGACATTGATCGTCCCACGCAGCCGACACCAACCAATTCGCAGCCGGGTCCCAATGTGGCCAGCATTTTCTAAGTGTGTGCGCAAATAATAATGATATCAACAGCACTCACACCCTACCCAGTACCAAGGGATGTCCAACGGGAGACCATATAGAAACTGCTTAATAACTCCGCATGTGGAATCCAAATTGAACGTGTTTAAGTGTTGAGGAAACAACAACAGCAAAAAAAAAAAAAAAAAAAAATAAGTGGAAAGCAAATTTTTTTTTTTTTTGTTATATTCTAGCGTTAAGATCAAAAGAAAAGCGAAAAAATTGTGTAGTCAATGAAGCTAGAAAACAGATTTTTTTTTATGTAGCCATTATTTCAGCTATAAACCATAAAGACAAATTGTAACCATTAACGTATATATATATATATATATATAGATATATTTATATATGTCTATATATATGTGTATATATATATATTGATATGTATTTATAACAAGCGCGCAGCATTTGCTGCCTTATGCATAATATATATAAGAATATAACGCCTACTACTACTAAACTATGTAAACCTAACATCATGCAAACAAACACATATACACACGCACGTAGCTATATATATGAAAATATATATACATATATATATATGGATGTGTGTATTTAATAAACTGGGCGTTCGATACGTATTTGTCCATCTAGAAGTGTTACTGTCCGTCATTCGCTGCATTTGCGAACACCTTCGTATAGCTAAGTGGTTCAATAAATAATTCAAGTAGCGCCCAACTTTTATGTACAAGCCCCAAACGTACAAAACTTAGACAACAGCAACAAAAAAAAAAAAAATATATATATATATATATATAATATATAAGACACACACAGTAAAGCCGCCCCGAGCCGCTCTTAGAAACCCTCCTTGGCCGCACGGAACTTGTATTGATTGCTTCGCCCATCCAGGCAGGGCACCTGCACCAGGTTGAAGTAAATGGAGCCCATCAGCTGGGAGGCCGACGTGTTGGTCATCTTCAGGCACGAGAACAGCATGTCATCGCAAATGCAGTGCGATCTATAGTTGATTGAAAGCAATGCAAATAAGTCAGGCATCTCTTTTTGGGCATACTCGTTCATTACTTACTTGGTGTACAGCGAGTCGTTCATTAGTTCGTATTTGTTTTGATAGGCGCGTATCTTGATGGGGCACAGATCGTGCTGGCGACAGCAGCGGTCCATGGCCATCTCGCTGCCCAGATCGCTGTACGTTTCGGCAATATCTCCCGTGCCACACCATTTGGTGCCTGTTTCGAAAGAGAGCGAGAGATTTTAATAAGCGAGTAGGGCATTTGGCGAGTGAACAAGCTAAGCAAAGCGCTGATAAGCTAAAGAGATGTTGAAATAGCAATTGGTAGGCTAACGAGTTGCCTTACTTATTAGTTTTAAAAGCAACGAGTTGACAAACTAGCGAGCTGGCGAACTAACGAATGGACAAACTAGCGAGTCAGCCAATCATTATATATAGAAATTATAGAAACAGCAAGGTAAGGCGCTGCCTTAACAACGAGCTAGTTATCCAGCGAGTTGAAGAATCTTTTAGTGGATAAGCTGACGAGTAGACGAACAAGCAAGTTGTTACAAACTAACAAGTTGGTTAGCCCAATTGCAAAACTAACGAGTAGTTAAACTAGTGAGTGAGCGAAATACAACTAACGAGTTGCTAGACTAGCACTCGCTAGTTAGACTGACTATATGCTCAAACCGTGAGCTAAACTGGCGAGTTGTTCAAGTTGTTAGTGTACGACTTCTTGTTCAAATCGTTACAAAAAGGTAGAGTAATCTAGTGCAACTTACCTGGTATAATGCCGCTTAGCAGCGAGAAGGGGCTGCGCGGAAAGATATTCGCTGCCAACTTGAGCGAAACACCATCCTGATTAGCTGAGCCGCCCAAACTGTCGTTGCCCGCACCGCTGGCCTCTGACTCGCTTGTGCCGCTGCTGCGTTCCGAGCCCTCATTGCTGGACTTGTATCTGAGCTTAGACGCATAGCTGAGCTTGTCGACGTGCTCGCATTGATCCATCAGCTTGAGCATTTCCTCGAATTTGATTTCCAGAGGTCGATTGTATTTGGCGAGGCCATTGAGCAGCATTTTGCCTTCCTTGTCGTTGCTGTAAAAGGACAAAGAGTACGTATGTAATAGGTAACGAGTGTAAAGAGTAGGGAAATTAATAAGTAACATGTTTAACGAGTGCATTGTGTAGCGAGTAACGAGTGTAATGAGTAGCAAGTGTGACAAGCGAATAAGTAACTAGTTCAAAGCGTAGCGAGTAACGAGCTTAATGAATATCAAGTAACGAGTGTAATGATAACGAGTAACGAGTGTAGCTACTCGTTAGTTTGCTTCCGATAATACTCACTAAATTTCAATCAGCTCACAGCCGAGAAGCAGCTTCTGTGGACCCAGCTCCGTGACGGCAATGGTCTGATCGTGATAGTATATCATGATCAGCGAATCGTTGCTAATGCGTTTCCCGCTGCAAGAGAGAGAGAGAGAGAGAGAGTGGAGGAGGGAGAGGGAGAGTTGAGTTAGATGCGTAATGCGATTTATGTGCACGCATTTATGGGCACATGGCCAGCCGAGAGGCATTACAATTATGGATGCGACGTGACGTCCATGACAATGGCCAGAGCTGGTGAAACTATCGGCCTGGCCAATAGGCGGAACGCCGGCTGTTTACTAATCCCACCGATTGTTGGCATGGACTCACCTGTAGGTTTTCATTTGACGCAGGCTGCGCTGCTCGATGATCTGCTGCGTAAAGGACTGAAAGGAGGGAAAGCCTTGCAGTCCGTGCGGCAGGCTGAACGACAACGTGGGCTTGGCCAGCGCCACCGAGGAGCTCAGATAGCCGAGCAGGGCGCAGAACAGCATCGAGGCGAACAGCTGGAGTCGCCAGCTCATCTCGAAGTTGTGTCGCATTTTGATTCAGTTATTTTCTCAATCTTTGCTTATATTCAAACTCAATTGCTACAAACTGTCGAACTGTCCGGCTGATCAGCTATGCCAAGCGGCATTCCATCCAATAAGTCTTCCGGTTGTCTGCCGATCAGCAGCAGCAGCAGGCTGCGTAGCACACGCCTTTCAATGCTCGAACTTTTGATACACTATACGAACATTTCGTTAATATGCCATTGTTGTTCTTCCCACTGCGCGGCGTCTAGTGACTGGCAGCTGGCGTCTGTTTGGCCAAGTTCGCGGCCAGCATTTGGTAGCATATATTTTATTTATTGCTGAGAATTTCCGGAGGCCCGACCCAAGCAGCTGAACGCATTCACAGACCAATCGCAACGTTCTCATAGTGTACAACGATTTCTGGGTATGGCCAATACCCCCAACCCACCCCACACACACACACACCTCCCCCCACCCCCCATACCGCAGGCTTTGCTCGGTTCACGTGCGCTAAAAAACGCGACGTGGCGTTGACTGAACTCTCTTATTATTTGCCACATCATCTAATTATCCTGTCCAAAGGCAATCAGTTGTCATTTCGATAGCGTGTTCTTTTAATTTTTAAGTCAACACACACACACACACACATAATTGTGCAATACATTACGTATACGCAATGTGATTCAATATGCAACAAATTATTGCAGCGAATTGCACATTTATGATAATCGCCAGGTACTAATTGTTAAGCTATAGCATTTATACAATTATTCGTTCGAAGATAATTGCAAATTACTTCCAACTAAAAATCAAATTAAAACAAATTAGAAGCTTACGCAAGGCCTAAAGAAGGTGAACAACCTGTATTGCATTTTCTGCTAGTAAAGTGAAATGAAACAAATGCATATAGAAAAATTCTAATCATAATGGACAAAGGATTCAAGGATGTAGTTCAAAATTTGAAGGATTAGAAAGAGGCTGTGTTCTCCTTGGATTTGAAATGGCGAGCTGGAGGGAGGTGGAAGCTATGTTTCCCTAGAAAACCCAAGGGGTCTATCTAGAACTTCAAGTGTCAAGAGTTACCTTGGGAACAAGTTACAAGCCGCATGTAATGTCTAAAGTTCCAGATATATTGGTTAGACAAACTTTTACAAGGCTTATTTCTAATTGAGAGATTGGAAATAGTTAGGTTAGGTTGAATTAGTTTCATACTGGGTCAAATATATATATGGAAATGGAATAGTTTGATACAGAGCCAAGCCCAAAGACTTATGATCTCACGAGAAAACATATTCAACTAGTTAGTCTAGCAAATATATTTAAACAAGTTAAGGGTTCCATTCTATTCGATAAAGCTGCGATTATACGAGAAACCCTCGTAAGTAACATCGAGAACAAATTGTAAGCGAAAGCTGAGCCGAATTAATTGTCATCTGGTTGAATAAACTATAATGAATATGCATTTAAAAAACTGTTCCACAACCTTGATGCAACAAAGCGATATCGAAATAAGTTGAAGACCATTCCGTAACCGTGACTGGCTTCGCGGATAGACAAAAGAGAATCGAGCACAATATATTTGAGTTGAGAACATTTCAGCCTGACCTTGACTTCGTAGTCTGAACCGAATGACTCAGTTTTATAGCGCTATTTAAGCGCTTGATTTATGCTTTAATTATATTAAGAGCTATTAATGGTCGAGTCCAGATGGCGCGACTACGAGTTGCCCTCTAGTCCTTCACCCTGACAATGGGCTGCATATAGGATAAACTTTGGATACTTGAAAGAGAAGCCACATCCCAAATTTGCAGGCGTTAGCTCTTATAGATCCCGAGTTCCTACAGACTGTTTGGGGCATTAGACGAATATATTTGGATAATATTGAGGAAAGGTAAGGGGCATCAATATATTCATTTGATTTGCCGTCTCCTTCTAACTTTAAGTCTCTCTCCTCTGTCTAATTATAATATTCCAAATAAATCTCTCAGTTCTTAAGTTATTTCAAATAAAATTCAATGTATATCGCAATGAAATCCCATATTGTATAACTTTTAGAGAAAGCGTTTCCTTGGGAGCTGAAAAATGTTTTGTTTCCACAAGAATTCCCATTTAAATCCAAAGTAGAAGGGTATTCAATTGTCGGCTTGCGGCAGATACGCGTTCTTTTTGCGTTTATCTTTATCGAACTGCTCTTCGTCTGGCCAGCCTTTTTTTTTTAGTTTTTGTCTGTTTTCAGTTCGTCGAATGTGAAACACTTTTCAATTCCCGTTAATAAACTTTTTACACTTGGAGTGGAGCTCAAGGAGGCGGAGGCGGAGGCGGAGATGGAGGTTGAGGAGGAGGAGCCGGAATTGTCCACACGCACGAAACATGCTAATCACAACATTTTTTATTTGTATTTTTTGTTGCCCCCGAAAATCAAACAAAAAAACAGAGAACATCTACGGCAAGCCGACTATTTAATGCTCTGCCAGAAATGTGACCAAGAAGAGAGATTTATTTACGATCAATCAGATTTGAGACGTTTCGCCAGATAAGTCGGGATAAGAGTGAGTAATCTGGGATAATAAGAAAAATGTATCAACCGATTCTTTTAATAAAGTTATATTATAGAAATCGAATATCTGAAGAAACAAAAAGCATTTAAAGTATTTTGCTTATAGAACAGTAATCCGATCTTGTTAAGATATTGAAACTCGTAAACGGCAAACTTTGACCAATTATTCCTATGTCAGCTAGATATATTATAATTGTCAGATCTTGATTAGATATTGCAGACATATAAGAAGTATGTCGAATCTGAGATATCTGGAAAGAACTTGATTTTGCAACGATTATTGCATATGATATAGTTATCCGATTCTATATCTGATCTCTACATATATGCCGGATGTTACAGAAAAACGGATCTATAAAAATTCTTTAAAACTGCGCTTGGCTTACAAACGGACGGACAAAGCAATATCGGTTCGACTCTTAATGCCGATCAAGCACGTATATATATATATATATAGCCGATTTCAGACTATCTCTCCATGTGTGGCACACCTCATGATGGGATTACAATACCCTCTCCAAGTGTATCGAAAAGCTGATTATCATGCGTACCAAGAAAATAACTATATATAAAAAGTATATATGCATGTATAAATATATAGAGTTATAGATATATATATATATAGTATATATGTTACACATAATATATTGCATTGTTTACTTTTTATGGATTTTTTTTTCGTGTGTTTCTTCTATTTTTTCTGTTTTTTTTTTATTTTCTGCTCGGTTTTGGCCAAGGCCCGCAACACGAAAGTTTACGCAAGCGGACAATGGTCAAGTGGACAATGGGGTTAGATGGAGACAGATCGGGAGAGAGTGGGAGGGGGGGGGGCGCTCCCAAAGTGAAAGTGCTGCTCATTGTTGATGTTGTTGTTGTTGTTGTTGACTTTTGGGTGATTTTTGCGCGATTTCAATTTAAACTGTGAACCAACATGCAACGTGACGGCGCCAAAAATCCGGCGATGACAAATCTTCATCTGGCAGTTGGCAATGGAAACTTGTTTCACGCATCAGCCCCTCCCCCCTACACACACGCACACGCATGCAAATTGGTGCCACTTAAAGTGTTGGTCAAGCCCAGTTATCCAACACTTGACACCTCAAACACTGGCTAATTGAATGACAGCCAACACAAAATATGGCTAAAAGAGTTGTCTAGTTTAAAGCTAAAATGCCTTTAAGACTTATTTCTATATATAAAACTGTTTGTCCTCACTGACTGATTGATTGATTGATTGACTGATTGATTGGTCTGGCTGAGGGACTGACTGACTGACTGACGGACGGACTCACTGACTGACTGACGGACTGACGGAGTGACTCACTGACTGACTGACTGACTGACTGATTGACTGATTGACTGATTGACTGACGGACTGACTGACGGACTGACTGACTGACTGACAGACTGATTGACTGCCTGACTGACGGACTGACTGACTGATTGACTGACTGACTGACTGACTGACTGATTGACTGACTGACTGACGGACTGACTGACTGACTGATTGACTGACTGACTGACGGACTGACTGACAGACTGACAGACTGACAGACTGACGGACTGACTGACTGACTGACTGACTGACTGACAGACTGATTGACTGCCTGACTGACGGACTGACTGACTGACTGACTGACTGACAGACTGACAGACTGACGGACTGACTGACTAACTGACTGACTGACTGATTGACGGACTGACTGACAGATTGACGGACCGACTGACAGACTGATTGACTGACGGACTGACTGACTGACTGTAATGTCAGTAGTTACCATGTGTGTTGAAGGTGCTCGTTAGGACGGGATTTCGACAAGTTCAACCCGCTTCTCACTAGCGAAAAACAAATAAATACATGCATACACACACACACAAACAAATATATATATATATATATGTACAAAACTTTTGTGCTTTGTTTCAGCTCAAGCTGAAATTTAATTTTCCATGTCTCCGAATGGGAATAAACTTGCATGAGTTTAATTCCTCGCAGATCGGGACGACTTGGGAATATGAAGCACAGCTGAGAATAGATGGAAAGCAAAAGTCTTGCCCGAGCTGAGATCGCATTCCCTTTCTACAGATTGTCGCAGAGCCCTAACAAGCTTTAATTAATAGCCGAACCCTAACCAGCTTTATAGCCTAGGCCAATCGAATCTAATTACTAATTACTAACTAAGTTTTCTGATCTCATTCGTTAACCGGATGCACTTTCCAACTGATGCGATCAAACTGACCGAATTTAAGATCAGCTAGTCATGATCTCGACACCATAATTAAAAAAAAAAAAAAAATAGAAAATAAAACAGCAGGAAAAAAACCAACACAATAACTCGTTTTGACCCGGGCTAAAGCCGCAGCAAATATAAAAAACAATAACAGTTCATAGTTGAGCGCTTTCCGCTGTGTTTCCTGCTCAGAACTATACGATCTATGCGAATCTCGTTTCCGTCTCATCCGAAAAACAACAACAACATCAGCAGGAAATGGCTGAGACACAATGGAACCAAGCCCAAAAACGAAATCTAAGTTTTAAAGTTGTTGCCAAAATCGCATGCAAATCGCCAAATTTAGTGCAATATCATTTTTGGGAATGTGAACTGAACGCGAACTGAAAATAGAGTGAGAAATTCAAACTGATGGACTGGAAGATGCCCTGTACTCTGACGGAATAACTAATAGGTTTAGTATGCAAGTTTTTAAAGCTGTAAGCCTGTAGCTATTAATGAGATAATCGGAATATGTTTCAGTTAATGCTAGCTTTAAAATCGTAGCCATTTTTGTGCCTCCAGCTCTTGCAGTCCCCGAGTTCAGCTAGATTAGCTGATGGTTGACCTCAGAGTACTGAGAACTTACGACAGTTAGAAAACCCAAATTTGTGTCTTTGCACTTGTCTATTGTTGTAGTTCAATGTTATAAGTGACTAGATTTATAAATACATAAATGTTATATGAAAAATATGATGGTAATTATATAGAAAATGGAACTCTCAAACTTTGCAACTGTGCAGAAATGAGAGTCAATTGTATGCAAATATTTATTTAAATATCAATCTATATAAACAAATAAATATTTATGAATAAAAATAAATGTATATCAAAAAACACATAATTCAAAAACTGGACTTTATGCGTCAAGAAATGGGAAATAGCGCATGCCCCCTAGCTCATCAGGCACGCTATTTTAACCCATTTACAGGGTATAACAGCGAAAGATATAACTAAGAAAAACGCAACTTGGTCAACTTGAACTTGGCTAAGTTTATTTCTCTTTCTTTAGGGGGCCTTAAGTCTCGCATGTGGGGTTCAAAAGTGCAAAGCTTTGCATAAGCCGCGAGCCATCAATAAAAAACAACAACAACAGCAACTACAACAACAACAACAACAACAACATGAACTGCAAACACGTTATCTTGGCATAGGTCAGTGAAGCATGAGCTAAACAAAAGCCAAGCAAAACTCGGCCGTGGGCGAAATTCGTTGACGTTTCGTTGTTGACCCGCTAAAGTTGTTGCCTGTCTTTCAAGTTGTCGTCGTCGTCGTTGTTGTTGTTGTTGTTGTTGTTGTTGCTGCAGTAAAAGTGGCAGCTGCAGATGCGCCAACAGCAACAACAATTGCCAACTCTCAACTGGTTTGCAAGTTCGCGGTTTTAACTTTCACATTGGGCGCACGCTTAATTGTGGGCTTTAATCTCGGTTAATTTGCTCCAGTTTTGTTTTTCATTTAGTAGAAGAAAAATAAAAATAGAGACATGAAACTAAAACTAAAACTTAAGCACACACATCACAGTCGACACGAATCGCCGATTAAAGCGATGCTCGATCATGGAGTTGTTCGTGCTGTGCGGCGGCATGTTCATATTTCCAGAAGTTACCAATGCGCATTGGCTATAAAATTCGCTCCACTCGTTCAAATTGACTCGGTGTTGTTGTTGTTGTTGCTCTGTCGCTGCGTGTGAAAATGTTTAGCAAGAGCGCGTTTCAAGAATTTGGTGTCATCGAAATCGAAACTTGAACACGCTGCAATCATCAGTTAGTCTCTGTATGAGCATCTCTGGCTAACGAGTGAGAGTCAACTCGTTAGACTTGACACTCGTTACTGGTTACTCGTTATTTTCAGACATATAAGTGCACTGGTTATTGCATTGGTTAGGCATACATATTGCAGTTACTCGTTCGGCCAACGCAAGCAACGAGTACCTACTCGTTAGGCTTGGTACTCGTTGAATTGCTTAATTTTCCAGTCTTCTAGTTATATGTCAGTTACTACACGGATATAACTAACAAATTAAATGATTTATGCGGCAGTCCTTTTCAATCTAAATAAATAACGAGTGCCTAATCGTTAAGCTTAATACTCGTTGTTTTCACATATTATTCTATCGTTAGATTTTGTAGTTTTCTCATTATATTTTGTAGTTAAAAGACAAATATAGCTCGTAAGCTAGCAAATTGAACAACCACTCATGCGGCAAATCCTCTCACTTTAAATAAATAACATACTCGTTAAGCTTGTTACTCGTTGCAAACACTCGTCATTCAATTGCTAAATTTTGCAGATATTTACTTTTTTTTTTGTCTACCAACTGTGACCATAAATTCTGTGATTGAAAAAAGGTGAGCGAGTAATTGCTCAACCATGTACTCGTTATGGGCACTCGTCATTCGATTGTCGAACTCGTCAGCCTTCTGTTAGTTGTAAGTTAAAGTTCTTTTGCGAAAAGAGTAATTGCTCATTAGATTTTTCACTTATTGCTATCACTCGTCGAGCTTAATGTGCTTTGTGGCTCGATATTAAATAAAAAATATGCATTAAAAGTCATTAAAGAAACAAAAGGCCAAGCGTTAATTGCAGAACTCATTGTTACCGCTCACAACTTATGGCTTGAACCAGTGACTCGCTCCTTTTGATACCCTTACAGATAATCAGATCAGTAGCAGCCGCGTCTGTATTGTAAAAGCATCATGTGAAATCGTATGATTGCATTATGCTTGTGAAGGGTATTTAATTTTTCATAGCCGGACAATAACTCTCATTTCTTGTTTGGCCTTCAAATATGTTAGTTTATGCGAACCAACTGCTAGTTAAATAAAAACTAGTGTCATTAATTTGAAACTCGCTACTCACGCAGACTTTTAACCTTTACACTAAACTTTTCAATTAGGCTACACGTTCGAGTAAGTCGCATAAAACTTAAGCGGAGTTCGAGTTAAATGAGTGGGGTTAAGATTCAACAAGTTTATAGTTTTACTCTGTACGCAGTGTCAATAAAGGTGTATTGGTTCGCATGCAATTTTAGGTGGAACTCTTTTCAGCAATTAGGGGAGGAAAAATTCGTATGCAAATCAATGTAATTCTTATGTGCTAGAGTTTCCAAATTACAGTTGGAAATGCACTGCCTCGGGGTGACAGTTTTAAAGCTACTGGCTGCAATTTTAGATGCGCTCTAATGCCTTTTTACTATGCACATCGTCGAATGCATCAATAACTTATACAGTTTGGGAGTCACAGTTTGAAATGCGCTGCTTTGGGCTAACAGTTTGATGGTCACTAGCCTCAATTGAGACAGTTTCTAGCTACCTTTTTTACACAAAACACAGCCGACTGCATTACCTTTGCGATTTCAAGAACTGCTACAGTTTCAAGTTCACTTGGGAAAACAGTTTGAGAGTCACTAGCCACAATATAAACTGCATTCAGATGCTTCTGATTGCTAAGTTTCCCTTCCTGCAGTTTGAAAGTCACAGTTGGAAGTTCATTGTGTTTGATTAACAGTTTTACAGTCTCCAGCTGCAATTTTTGGCCGTACTTCGTTGCATTTCTTCCACTATAAACAGGGTATTGCGAAGTCGGTTGCAACCGTTTTGAGATTTTAATAACTTATTTATCGCACTATTTGGCTCGATTTATGCAGCTACCCGATTCAAAGGCACAGCTCTGAAACAATAGCCGTACCGCTGTTGAGGTAGGGTACTTAATGCGCCTGCCTGGCTGCACTTCGCACAGAGTCGCTAATCATGGGCATGGGAATTGGGGAATTGGGAATGATGCTGATGCTGATGTTAATGTTGATGATAACTGGTTGTGCACAGTTCGTGATAAACAATAAATAATGTTGGGACATAATGATGGGGCTTGTTGCAGCTGCCACATGCGATGCAGTTGACAAATGCGGCTTGCGGCATTCCCATAACCATTCCCAGACGATTGTCTCTCCTTTTTCTGTTCGCTGTTGACATGTCGACGCGCGCGCGCGCGTGTGTGTGTGTGTGTGTGTGTGTGTGTGTGTGTGTGCCAGTTTCACAAGCGTTTTGGGTGAAACTCGGCCAGTTGAGGCCGTGTGGGCCCATAAGAGCTGCAGCACTTTGGCCATAATCAATGTATCTGCATCTGTATCTCAGCTATGGGCCGGGCCAAGCGCTGGCCGCCACTTGGCCGCAGCAAGAAGAAGAACAACAACACGCGCTTTAAGAACCAGTCTCAATTATAAATAATTATTTGCCATTACGTTTGCCAAGCGGCAGCTTTTAGTTTTGGTCAGTTTCACTTTTAAAAAACACACAAAAAATAACCACAACAACTATCAAGACCGAAAATCACGTTAATATTCAATACGCATGCGCGCTCTGCTTAAGCTCAACGAAATGCACGAACCGTACGCAGCCGCCCACAGACAGCAACTGATCGATGCAGCCTCAAGCGGCGGCAGGCGAAGCTGTTGAGCCATTGCCAAAGCCGAAGTCGAAGCCGAAGTTTGAGCGAAGCCGACGATCGACGAACGACGGCCACGAAGACGTAAATGTGTCAAAAGCAAAAGCTGCGCTTCAATGGCAGCGAACGCCGCCGCGCAGCCTGCCAACAACAAGTGCTGCATGTTTTTGGCAGCTTTGCATTTGTGTGCGTGCGTGTGGGCGGCCTGCAGTGCTATTGAAAAGCTACCGAATGAACGGCTGCAACGTCGACGTCGACGTCAACGTCAACCTTTACGCTGCTTTATCGCCCAAGTGAAAACACTTAAAAACAACTTTTACAATGTCGCAGCTGCTGTCGCTGTCGCTGCCGACGCCGATGCCAAAGAAAAGTGACAGTGGGCCAAATGAATAACAATTAAAAATGGGCTCTAACTACTTGGCCCACACAGACAAAAGACAACAAAGCTCTGATCGTATAGAAGAGGTGCCATAAAAAAAAAAAACAAACATATAAATAACATTTACGAGTGCTTTGCTTAAATCTAAACTTTTCATTCAAGCTGGGATTTCTTGAAGTGGCTTTTTTTTATGCTACTTCGCATAGACAAAGCGAGTATATTGGTTTTACCATTATTTATAAACTATACAGATAAGCTATGAATATAACATGGCCTTTATAGATTTATTATTTTAACTAGCTACCTCTAAAGGGGCATGGCAAATTGGCAATGCTGAAGATGTTTTCAACTATTCTGAAAGAGTATTACGCAGTCGGTTGTACTCGACCGCAAAGTTATTTTTGCCTATTTTTTCCTAATTTGAAGCTTAACACTAGATCGAGGATATTTAATTGCCAATTAAAGACGACTATTAAATACCCTTAGAAGCTTTTTAAACAAAAGCTTTATGGTATTATAGTCCGATTTGATATAAAAGGAAAGATATCAGTCGTTATTTTCCCGAGATATTAACAAAAAAAATAATATCGTCAAAAAAGTTTTGATTTTCGAAGTGACCCTGATTTTGAGAAAAAAAACGTGATTTAATTTTTTGTCGATTTGGTTCAAAATTTAGATGTTAATTTTTTGGAATTGAATTGAGTTTGGAAATATTGAAAAATTCTTTTCAATGTGAGAAGTATATTGCAAATAATTTTTGAAAATAGTTTTCGCTTCTTAAATGATCAGCTTTGAAAGGTGGCAATAAAAGGGGCGAACTTTAATTCGCCACCTGCATTGGATGGCATTTTATCATCCAATCTAATATTTTTCGGAATCCAGATCGGAAATAGGAAAATCGAGTTTGTACGAGGACTAGAAAAGAATTAGGCACGGAATCAGGAACTATTTGCAACGGAGGCGGTTTGAGATTTTTTTGAATTTACGGCTAACGACAACGACGATGGTAAAACTAGATTAAAAGCAATTCGTTCTCGGATGCGAGCTGGAGGCGACCGTCACTTTTGGACAAGGATTGGCAAAGGCCATCGGAAATGCCGCGTCTGCCGGAACAGACTCAACCAATGCCGCCTGGTGGTCCGGCCTGAAGTTCGGCATGTAGATGACATCGGCTTCGTAGTCGCCCTCCTCCTCGGGTATGGTTGGCAGCGTCTTGGGCTTTGGCAATCGATTCCTTGTCAACAAACACGAACAGATAAAACTGCGCTGCTTTACCATCTGCTGGAAGTTCTGCATTTTTGCTAGACGGAAATTTATGCTACCTTCAATTAGAATTTATTCATAAAATCTATACAGAATCAAATCAAACTAACTTAATCTATTGTTTTGAGCCAAAAACAATGCATACGTGATGGCCGGGCATAAACACAAATTATTTACGAATCTCAACAAAAAACGGGAGTCTTATGCTGCCCGTAAAACGTTTAAGAAGCACGCACAAAGAGCAAATGGAAAAAGACAAGCTATTGAAGAAACAAGTGCGAGTGAATAGATGTGACAGACTAGGGCATACCCTGTACTCAACTTCGCAATCGTTCAACAATAAACTGCGTTAATGGCATACAAAGCCGAATTGATAAGAGATAAAACGTAAACAAAATTCTTAAAATGAAAGCTACTTGAGGCGAATGTTAAAAGATTTTGATTACAATAAATTCGAAATGTATTTAATGCGCCAAAGCTAAAGCTTTTGTATAATATACATCATTATTGAAATAGATTTTATTGCTTTACATTTTATTATTACGATTTTGAGATTGGGCATTCGAGTTGATGCCAATGCCAAATTGTTGTAGGCTACAATAATCTTTTTAGGCATATAAGTCGTTAATTATACATATTGTATATTATATATTATATATATATATATATAGTACTAGGCATAGGTATCGTTAGTTGTATAAAGTGTACTTATTTATATAATTTTCGCTTCACGAGTCACACAGTTAAGTGAAAAGCTAACTCCTGCTCCTAACGGACATTACAAATCAGGTTTAAGAGCTGGAATTCAAGAGAACCAATTCCTTGGCGCTAGCTTAAAAACGCATACCGCTAACGATTGGGCGGTGTGTGTCTTGAGAGGAAGAGGAGGGAATTTAACGTATGATTGATTGATTGATTGATGATACAAATACTCTGTACGTATTTAACAATTATGTATCATTATTCATATACAACGTTACATACAGTTCTATATATATATATTTATATATCGAAAGATCCGATGCATTCATGTGCTTGCGTTTATGTGTGTATGGATCGTCGCACTCTAAACTATGTATTGTATTATTAAACTATCAAACAGCTAATTTGTTTATACATCATTATATTTATATGTCTGCGTAGCATTTAATTTGTAATTTTTTATTTAAATTGTGCTACAGCCTTTGCATTTGCAAATCCTTTAACAAACGATTGGTCTAAAAAATTATTGAACAACATATTCATTGATTATCAGTAATCAATATATACACACTGTATATATCTATATACATATATATATATATGTATATATATATATATCAATATATGTTAGGCAATCACATCATATATTCGTATTTTAGAATTTAAATATGAACAATTATTGGATATACAAGATTTTCGGTTTTTGTATCCAATTACGAGGTGTGTGTATCTGTGTGTGTGTGTTTGAGTGTATCAAAATAAGAGGATATCTCATTTCAAGGCCATTTCGTTGCCTGAGTTGGTTTCGGAATACAAAACGTAACAAAATTAAATTTAGAATATTTCTTCGGTTCTTCTACTTCTGCACTTTTTGTTGTTAACATTTCATTGTTTAAATCAAAATTTAAATTTGCGTGTGTGTGTGTGTGTGTGTATGTTTCGTGTATATAGAACACCTAACCAAGACCCAATTGCATATGCACTTTGATCCATTCACTCGCACTCAATTCTTGCTGGGCTCCGGCGGCGTAGGCACACGTTTGACATTCATGCTAAAGAACTTGGTCTTGACTTGATCAATGGTGTAATCCAGCTCGATGGCAGGATAGCTGGACTTCTGCCGATGGGAACGGGAAATCAAATCAAATTGATTAGACATTTAAAACAAACAAACAAAAAAAAAGAGAAGTGGTTAAACTGCATTTACGTTTTGTGTTATATTCTGGCCGCGCAGCAGCTGCCAGTTCTCTAGAATGTGAGCATAGCGCAAATACTTCTCGAATTCGTGTAATGTCTCATAGACATGGCACAGTCCCAGATAATCATATTCCAGACCAGAGTAGCTGCGTCCAAACAAACGCAAGCCTGTTACGAGGAGAATGCAGAGAAGAATCCAATTAGTAATAGAAACGAGACGGCAGAGAAAACAACTTTTTTTTGCTCACTTATATCGATGCTGCGCAGATATAGATCCTCGGCCTGACGGAATTTCTTCATCTGATAGTTGTAGAGCGAGGCGAGATGGCCAATGGACAGGCCCACCTCATAGTCGTAGGGGCCGAGCAGGTCAGTTTTGATTTTGATCGCCTTCTGATGCATACGTTCGGCCTCCTCGAATCGATTCATGGTCTGATATAGCCGCCCCAGATTGCCATAGTGCTTGGCCGTCTGCACGTTCACCTCGCCGAACACCTCTAGCGAGAGTTGGAGTGCAAAATTGTGCAGCTCCTCGGACTGATCGAGCAGATCGTCATCACCCATGCCATCGGCGATTTTATCCAACGCTATCTCCTCCAGCAGCAGCGCCTTAACACGCTTGGCCGATGCCAACATCAGATGATTGCTGGGCACCAGATTCTTCATGATGTGCACGGCCTCGTCGACATGCTCCTGCGCGAAGCTAAAGTCGCCAGTGCTATATTCATGGACATAGTAGGCATACGATAGATCCTCATGGGCAATTGCCACATGAAAGTTCATGTTGCCAAAGATGCCGCGACGCACGGCCAGCGCCTCCTTGTACACCTTTACTGATTGAAAAACGGAATCGACGTTAAGCAAAAAGAAACCATAATCCAGCAGTGCATCGCCGTATTTCTGATGATTTGGCCCAAATTGTTCGCTGTGTGCGAGACCGTCAAAGAGAGAGAGAGAGAGAGAGATCAAGTGTGAATAAGAGCGAGAGAGAGAGAGAGAGAGTTGATTGTTTCATTTACCGGGCTCGGCGCACCGCCTGGCAGATGAGCAAATTGGCGCGTGCAAAATCACGCTTCACCACGCAGGCCTTGGCCGCCTGTCGCAGCACATCGATGGCAACGCTGGGAGAGATTGATTAAATAAATCAGCACATATTCTAGATATCTCTGTATATGAGTGTGTGTATGTGTGTGTGTGTGTGTGTATGTATGTGTGCATGCTAGCTTGTGTTGCAGCGTACCGTGTGGGCGCAGACATTTCCAAGTGGCGCATGGCCTGCACGCTCCACATGTGACTATTGTTGTACTCGTTGCGGGCAAAGTACATGGACGAGATTTGCGTATAGGCCATGGCAATCAGAGCCGCCGGCACCGCATTCGTCAGCCTGCCGTTGAGCTCCATCAGTTCGCCAAAGGTCTTCTGGGCCATCTTAAAGTTGCAATGCGACGACTCTGCATAGAGCAGGCTACAAAATAAATATGCGTTATGAAGTTGTGTGCACAAAGGAGAGAGACAGAGATCATTCTGTTACCGCTGCAGGCAATCGAGACGCAAGACCAGCTCATCTTTGAAGGGCCGCATGCGTTTCAGTCTTTCGTTGAGGCAGGACAACACCGAAATGCTCTCCTGCATCCAGCCGGCCACGGACAGAAAGCTGCCCAGACGCAGACCCAAGTCAATGGCTATGATATCCTCATCGGGCAGCGTTTCCATTGGCACTGATTCGGCGGCCGACTGTGCGCCGGCAGCTCCATCTCCAGCTCCAGCTCCAGCTGCTGTCTGTTTGTCATTGAGAGTCATGTGGCTCAGGCAGCTGGCGGCAATGTCAATAGTTTGCGTTTTATCATAATCAATTTGCGGCAGCAAGGCGGCGGCCTCTCCGGCTCCAGCTCCAGCTCCGGCTTCAGCTCCGGCTACAGGTGCAGTTGCCAATGCCCCCGCCTTATCGCCATCGCCATCGGCCTCTTCATTGTACTGTGCCTCTGTCTGGGACACAGCATAGCGGCCCACATAGGCTTCGCTGAGGCGATGCGGCAGCGTCTTGTTGCTGGCCATCAAGGCGGCCACAATGCGGAGCAGCTTGCCGCGCGCCGATGTGTAGCGTACGAGTGGACGGAATACATCCAGATTGGACAGCTCCTCCAAGAGTGTGTCCTTCAGATCTTCGCGCTGTGACATCTACAAGCGGAACGCGATCAGGAAATGGGTCAACAAGAGCGAAAACACTTTGAAAAATGATCATAGTTCGATAAATGTTGCAGATGGGCTTTGAGCTTTAAATTAACTTTTTTTGTGTGTACGCTTGCTTAAAGCTCAAAGCTCTTTGTATTTAAACCATAATGAGCTTTTAATGCTGGACGCAAATTTCATCACTCAATAGACTATTGAAAATAGTGTGCATTTGAGCTTTAAGTTAACTTGAGCTCGAACAATATTGTATATGGTAAAAGCTTTGAGCTTTAAGGGAACTTTGTTGTTTGTACGCTCACTTAAAGTTTAAAGCTCTTTATGTTTTATACTTTAATGAGCTTTGCTTTAGTAAAGAAACTGACAATTGTTAACAATATTTTCTATATTTAAGCTTTAAGTCATCTGAAACTTAAAACTCTTTATGTTTATCATTTAAGCTATTATATTTGCACTTTAATCTTTATAACAATAAAACAGTTTGTCCCGACTGAATAACTGATCGGTGCCCAAACTTTAAGAGCTTGGAAACTTCGTTTTTTCGTTACTTTATTCCGTGGGAAATGCAAATATGCAAGGTATTCAAAAAGTGCAAGAGATGCTATTAAATCAGAGAGAGGTCTGCTATTACACAACACTAATTTTGAGTGCTGCGTCATTTTGAGCTTATGGCATGACTCTGCATTATTTTCAAACGAGATCAGTAATAAAAAACAAAAACAAACAATTACTAGGTGACAAATAGTGTGGGAAAGGAATGCGGCTGCTGGGCGATTGCTAGATCTTTGTTCTGTTTCACAACACTGGCACTTTAAGCTTATGTCATGCATGCTTTGTAAACAAATGAGAACGAGGCTTTGCGAAAAAAAACAGTGTTGTCAAAGAAATTGAAAAAAAAAAAACAAATTTAGAGTAAGGGGTCATGATGATGCGTTATTGTAAGAGAGCGAGTTCGAAACTAAAAGTAGCCAGTGTTTAAAAACAACCTTTTTGCGGCAAAATGAAGAGAGAAATGCGAGACTTTGCCACAGAGAGCTGCCAAAATAGTGTAATGCTATCTCTTGCACAACACTAGTTTTAAATGGGACTAATATCAGCCGAGAGGTAAAGGAGCCATTGTTGAAAGCGAATTTGAAAGCCTCATCCCAGTAGGATTATGTTGCCTAGCTTAAGGATCTAGTGTTTAGTAAGGGCAGTGTTGACAAAAATGAATGAGTGTGGAGTAAGTACTATTGTTTAATCTAAGCTAAGCTCGCTGCACAACACTATGAGATTATGTCAACAAGCTTTATGATCTTAGACTAGACTTAGAGAAGCTAGTATTGAAGAACAAAAAGTGTTGTGCGATTGTTGCACAACACTGGCTTTGAATGCGGATCTCAACGGGCCTCATAACAGTCATGGACGGCCATTTTGCAAAGCTGATAACAAGCCGGGTTGAATGGCTGCGCCCCAGAAGGATGCCCGTCAAACGAGCTATTTTTAGCCGGCGTAACGCAGCAACATCAGCTGCTGCTGCCACATTGTGGTCGCTACTGCTAATAATTTATATTGTAATTGCGGAGCTATTATGACAGGCAATTTGTGTGCCTGTGTGTGTGTACGTGTGTGTGTGTGTGTGTTGAGGCATGCGAGCAATGCCGAAGTGTACATGCCCTTACGCAGCGAATGTTGTTTAAATTAAGATAGAGTGTATAAACAACAGTTTATTAAAGATATCATATCGCACAGCTATGTCAATGATATCTAATGCCATGTGGTTTCAGACATGATTTACATACATACACGCACACGCACGCACGCACGCACACACACACACGCACACGCATACAGTTGCGCTCGTGCCAGCTGTGCGCGTTTACCAGAAGCTTCTACGCGTAAACATAAACAGTGGAAAGCTTTTGGCTTGGCACAAGCTTTTTGGTTTCTTTGTAGCTCAAACAAATGAAATTCCCCTAACTGTATATCAAAACAAAACAGCAAAAAATTGTGTTGTCCTGTTGCGCGAACCAGAGAAATAAGAGAAACGGCAAGAAAAAGCCGTAACAGCGCAGCGCAGCGATAAGCAGCACGCACACAAACAAACACACACACACACACACACACACACAGACAGACAGACAGACAGACAGATAGATGCTTGCGTGTGCGTGCATGTGTCGCAGCTGATTTTGTTATTCATTTTTTTTTTTTTTGCAGCTTCTTTCTGCGTGTGTTTTCACTTTGTTTTCTTTTGAGTAGCAAAAACTTACCAGCTCGTAGACATCGATCAGCAGATTGCGCGGCAGCTCCGGCAGCTTGCTAATGCGCTCCAGTGTCGGCACTTTGCAGTCCAGGCCGTTGACAACGGCCATCAATGACAGATCGTACAGTGGCTCGGGGCTGTTGTTGTTGTTGTGCCCGGAGGCCGATGACATCAAAGCCAATAGCTGCTGTTGTGCAGCCATTTTGCTGCTCTTGTTGTTGTTTTGTTGTTTTTTTTTTTTTTGTTTTTTTGTTTTGTATATTTTTTTTTTGTCTTACTGTTTCTGTTGTTTATTGTTTATGTAGCTCACTTAGTTTTCTTTGGGCTTAAATTGCTAAACAAAAGCTGCTTTAGCATATATGAAAAAAAAAAAAAACAAAAAAGAACCTGTCGCGCACGAGGGGGGAGGGGGGGGGACAAGTTGTCAATCTCTGTGGCGCAAAAATGAGTTAAAAGAACGAAATATATGTTAATTTTACAAATTAGGCTGTGCCACAAGTGCCCGTCGAAAGCTAAATTATAACTGTCAATAAGTTGCAGTGACGCACGCACGCACGCACTGTGGCTGGCAACAGTAACAGAGCGACAACAACACCAAAGCAGCAGCCAGCAGCCAGCAGCAGCAGCCAGCAGCAGCAGCGTATGACACTTGCGCTAACTTCACTTTCTTTTGAGACGTTCTTCGTTTTTCCTTTCTTTTTTTGTTGCTGCTGCTGCTGCTTCTGCTGCTGCTGCCCAGTGGTTGGCACCTGCGGTCAATTTCACTGCTGCCGTCTGAGACAAGTTGGTCTTTGTTACACACAAGCACACAGAGGCACAAGCAAGCACACACACGCAGCAATCACACGATACGCACAGCAGGTCCAAAAAAAAAACTTGCTGAATTTGATTTGTTTGCTTGTTTTTTAATTATTTGATCACTTACACAATATTGAATGCATTTAATTGTTGTTACATGTACGAAATTGCACGTCAAACTGCCCGCCTGCTGCACTTCTTGCACCGTTGCAAGTATTGCAATTGATGTTCTTTTTTTATGTTTCGATTTAATGCCAAAACAATTTTTATTATTTCACTTGGGGATGATAGCAGCAAAAACAATAGCAGCAGGAATCGCCAGCTTACCAATCTGGCAACCTATCGATATTTTCTGTCATCTAACAGTGCGCTGTCACGTAACAGCAGGCCAATTTGTGTGCGCTAACAGGGCGCAATTGTGCGTTAACAGAGCACATTTGTGCGTTAACGGCTTGCCAACCGTTGAGTTTGAAATTTCAGTCAACTATTTTAGTAAATACTTCATTTAAAAAGCCAAATCGCGATCGATTTTATTTAATTTTTTTTTTTTTTTTTTTATTGAATCAGTGGCTGCTGCTGCATCCTTAACGCTGCTGTGCCTGTCACTCGGATCGATTTGCAGTGCATTGCAACGTTACATGGTTTTCAACTGAATGCCGTTCTGCGAGTCTTTGTTTTATTGATAAACTTCACAATTTTGATTATACTGAAAGTAAAAAAGAGAAAAATAAAAAAGGAATGAATAATACGGCCTACGCTTGTATATGGCTAGGCAAACAACCTATTTGATGAATTCATCCAAAAAAGATAAAGCTGCCTGCCTTGATTTACTTTTCGTCTCGGTTTGATTTGTTGCTTCTCTGCTCGCTTCTTCTTTTTTTGTTTTGTTTTGTTTTTTTTTTTTGTTGTTGTTGTTGTTGTTTGTTTTTTGAAACCTAAAACAGGTCAAAGGAATCGTCTTCAACCTCCACCAGGCCAAAATCATTGGTGCTGCCAAACATCCACCAATGGCGCAGTATATTGCGTATGAGCAGGAAGCGTGTCGTCACAAATTCAAAGAAATGAAAGAATAGGGCACTGGACGTCAGCAGAGCACAGGAGGCGACGAATACCTCCTGTACCGTTAGCTGTTCGGTGCTGCCCTGATTTAGATTATCCATGCAATGCAGGACCTGTACACAAGTAAAGAAGCGCAAATAAGCATCGATCGCTCCAATTAGCAACTGTTGCCACAAACGCTGCCACCTGCTGCTAACGCTCACCTGCTGCAGTATGACATGGGCGAGCGGCATTAGCGAGGCACTGAACAGCACATGCTTCACGATCATGCCGCAGCAGCGGCCGCAGCAGAAGGCGCGCACCATTTGCTTGACGCTCGCCCGATCTGCGGTTATGTTGAACGTGGCATGGCAGACCTCGCAGCGATTGTCCCGTCTGTGCATTATCCAACGCTTCAGGCACTTCAGATGTATATAGCCCTGTAAAGAAACGATTACACACACACACACACTCTCTCTCTCTCTCTCTTGGTCTCTCGGTGTGTCTGGTGAACTTACCACGCTGCCCTTGCACTTGCAGGGACAGTTGATGATCTCCATGTCGCTGCGATTCCAGCGACAAATGCGGCACGAATTGCCAAACTCATTGGCCGAGTGGACGCTCTCCTGCGATGCCTGACCCGGCCCGGATATTGGCAATACGAGTCCCAGCTGTGTGGCATCAACACAACCGCCGCCGCTGCCGCTGCCCCCGCTGCCGCTGGCCCCGCTGCCGCTGGCCCCGCTGCCGCTGGCCCCACTGCCGCTGGCCCCGCTGCCGCTGGCCCCGCTGCCGCTGCCGCCGCCACCGTTGCTGCCCCCAGCTATGCCACACGTGCCGCCCGCCTCGCTTGGATTCTGCATCTGTACGTGGTGGGGCGTTGCCAATATTTGGGGCGTGACAGCGCCAGCCACAACGCTATTGAGCAGCCGCAAGGCGGTCGCCTCCGATAGCTGCTGCTGCTGCTGCGACTGCGACTGCTGCTGCGGCTGCTGCGACTGTTGCTGCTCCTGCTGCTGTGCCATGCCTGCTTCAATGCGCAACAGACCGCGTTCTGCAGTAATCCAGGCTGGGGATGTGGCGAGTTTGCGCTTGGTGTGGTGGGTTTGGTGGTTATGTAAAGACTTTGTGTGCGCGTAACGAACTAAATTTTGATGTACGAATTTCACACGTAATTTTGTTTGGACATTTTACACAAAACTTAACGTTAGACTTTCACAGCACGGCTGAGATTCGTTTCGGTTATGTTTCACAGCTCTCCACCTGACAGCTGTCCTCATGCCAACTATACAACAATATAGTCTGGGCGGCACTTTACAAATATATATGTAATATACAATACATAACCTCACTTATTATGCTTTTCGTACAACATAACCTCACAATGCGCGCATTTCATTCACAATTTTAAGGTTATGTTGCTGCAATTGCTGGTGGACTGTACTTGGACATATATTCGAGCAAGAATTCAGCATATCTTATTTGAAATGCGCTTGTTGGCAGTGCCCGACTAGCAGATACCCTAAGCTACCACTACAACTTACTTTACTTCGCATCAAAGTGACGCCCAAGTACATATATTCATTATTTCCAACTAAAATTTAAGTAAACTGTGCCAATCTATGTATCTATACACTACGAGAAGCGAATATGATGTACCTAGCTTCTCTTACAGCCGTGTATTGAAATCGATTCATATCGATCTTATGTTAATGGACGAAGATATCGATAAATATAACTTTTGCAAATTCAAGTCGCAAACCTTAACGCGAGCAGTTCGGCTCAGCTCGTTGTCCATTTACACAAAACATATATACCCTGTTTACTCATTTACAATGGTTGCAGGGTATAAACATATTTGTTCATGTTTATAAAAGACAAGAGTAAATGTTAAAGTATACTAAAGAGAAAGAAATGTAGCTTGGAAATGCATCAATATAAATACAAAATACAAGCTGTCAAATATGTATGTGCGGTCTGATACCCTATGAATTTTTACAATTTTTGAACTCTTTTATACAACTCTTTGCAATTTACAAAAAAATAGTCTTTGTTATTTATACAAATAAAGAAACTCTTAAAGAAGCCTTAAAATCGCTTTAACAAATTATTTTAATCGTTCGATCAATAAAAAAGACAAATTAGCACATTTTTGTTTTTTTTTTCTTGTATTTTTTTTTTTTTTTTTTTTTTTTTTTTTGTTCAATGTTAATATTAGCTGTAGATACAATAATATTTTTATGTTGATATCGCATTTCGCTTGCCGCTGCTGCGAGTTAGTAATTTGTTCGTATAATTTCGCTCGCTTAAAAGATTGAGTAGTATTTACGCTGGTAGATGGATAGGGGCTGTGAGGGGAATTGAGTTCTATGCTGATAGAATCGATTCTCGCTCTATTTTTTTTTTTTATCAAAACTCAGCGGGGTTAGTAAAGTTTGCGCCTTGCTCCATTTTTCTCCATTTATAATTAAGATTATGACAAAAAAAATTCAACAATTATTGCATAAGTATTTAGGTTCAATAACAAATAATAATAATAATAATAATAATAATAATAGTAATACAAAAAAAAAAATAATTGGTCAAATAATCATGTAAAGACAAAAAAAAAATTAAAAAAAAAACAAACACAAAAAACGTACAAATGTCCCGTTAGCTGTTCATTAGCGACGAGCCTGCCATTTGTGGTCAAAACATGTATATCAAAAATGTTGGGTTATTTTATAGGGTATCTATATGGGCTACAGTTATGTGGTATGCGTGTGCTCCAACGCGAAATGCCAAAAGGTGTACAAATTTGCCTGCATTTTCTAGTTCTTTTTTTCTTTCTCTTTTGCTTAAAATTTAGTGAACAGTTATTGTTGTTGTTGTTGTTGTTGTTGTAGGCCACGCGCTGCTGCTGCTGCTGCTGTTGTTGTTGTTGTTGTTGTTGTTCTTGCTGCTTTTACTGGCAATTGCGAAAACGGCGATAGATGCTCTGCACATAGACAAAGACGCACTTCCAGTCGGGCCGGCTCATCTCCACCATGTCCTCCACATCCAGCAAGGGCGCGATGCCAGCTTTCTCGCTAAAGAGAGCGAGAGCGAGATCGGGCGAGAGAGAGAGAGAGAGAGAGAGAGATTAGTTAACAGCCGGCCAGTGTTGTTAAACAACAAACAGACTTACTCAGCCACGCTGAAGGCCAGCTCAAAGTTATGTTTGCGAGTTTGTTTGGTTAATTTACTGTAGTCAAATGCATCTGGCAAGAAATGATGTATCAGCGCACAAAAGGCCAAGCCGTCTGACCAGCTCGAGCTAAAGTTGCTTATTTGGACGTTCTGCGAATAACACGGGATGAAAGAAATTGTAATAAGTGCGTTGTTGTTTTTCTGTTCAAACGGGCAGAAGGCGGGGCATTTGGGGCGTTGGGTTGAGCGGGCATAAAACAGCTCAGCTTTGAACTTAAAATGTTTTCTTTTTTTTTTTGTTTTTATTATTATTAGCAGCAGCAGCAGCAGCAGCAGCAGCAACGGCAGCAGCAGCAATTAAGCAATGTTTGTTTTTTTTTTTTTTTTTTGTAGTATTATTTGCTGTAAGCTCCAGCCCCAAAAAGCAAATGGCAAGAACAACAACGACAGCAACAACAACAATAGTAATTATATTAATAATAATTATAATAATAATACGAATTAAAAGCAGTGTATATGAGCAACGTTTACGGTTACTTTTGAATGAGAGCAAAAGCTGCGCTTCTGCTTCTTACTCCGCTGCTTCGCTCGCAGATTTTCAGCCAATCACAGGCTACTTGCGTGCATTAATAACTGTTTTCTTTCTTTCTCTAGTTGCGTGTTTGCTTGTGTGTGTGTGTGTCTGTGTCTGTGTGTGTGTGTATGCATGTTGTGGATGAGTGTTGCTCAAAAGCTCAGCCAACGGTTAGGCGTTGTTTGGTTATTGTATTTACGCTTTTGTTTTGGTTATTTGACTTTTGTTTTTTTTTCTTTTTTTTTTTTTTTTGTTGAGTCTCTAAGCGTTAGATATTGTTAAACATTATTTGCAATATGAAAACGAACGGCAGTAAAAATACAAATGCACAACGAGAGAGCAAACAAAATCAAAAATAATAATAGAAAAAAAAAAAACAAAAATATCAATAATAACAAAGAAAAGGCAACAAATAACGGTCTATGTGGCTGTGGCTTTGCGTTTGCATTTAGCTGTTTTTTTTTTTTTTTTTTTGGTTGGTATTTTTCGTTTTTGTTGGTATTTGGTGGTATTTTTTTTTTTTTAGGATTTGGATACCTCATATTCCTGCGTTTTGTGCTGACACCACTGCAGAAGTTGATCCTTGACAGTGGCGGCGCGCGCATTTAATGCCGGATCGGTAAATTTGAATAACGGTTGTGCTGAACCGCCTGGGGTCGTGGGTGTGCTTGTTGTTGGAGATGATCTGAACAAATGATTCAAGGTTGGAGGGGCAGACGTTTTAGCGAAACTCACACAATTTGTATTTATTTTTTATGTTTTGTCTAAGATTGTTTTTGTTTTTTGTTTACTTTTTTTTTTGTGTTTTCTTGTTTTCTTTATAATACATAAAATTTGTACTTTTGTATGTGATTGGGGTGTTCGAGTTGTTTAGTGTGTGTGTGTGTGTGGTTTTGTGTTAGAGTGGAAAACAACAATAATTATTTATATTATTCTTACAATAAGTCAGATATGGCATAACGGTTCTTTTTCGTGTGTGTGTGTGTGTGTATTGAAGAGACGACAGGTGCGTAAGGAAGTGTGACAGAAACAGAGAGAGAGCGACAGAGAGAGTGACAGAGAGAGGGAGTGAGCGAGAGAGAGAGAGACAGCTGCGTGCGCAAACCCAGTAGGCTAGAGCAGGACAGGGACACATTAAGATACACATACACATACGCATGTATGTGCATTAAGTAAAAAGGAACGCAACTCAACAGTTTACAATTCACCTAAAAACATTAAGAACTTCACCTAGGCACAAGAGACATTTATATTGCCGACAACCAACACCAGAAAATGGCCATAAGAAATAAGGCGAAACTAGTGAATGTGTGCATGTATTGGTGCGTGTGGGTGTGTGTGTGTGTGTGTGTGTGTGTGTGTGTTGGATGTGAACCTGCACCAAAAATGTGTGTGTGTGTGCAAAAAAAGGAAAGCAAAACAAAATGTGCCACTCTTTTTTCTTCTAGCTTTTAAGTTAACAATCTGTGCTCAGTGTTGGTAAACGTTGTTCAGCAACATTTTTGGTTTGCTTTCCTTTTGATACGTTCTACAGTATGTCTTGATAATTTGTTCTGTTTTTCTTTTGTATCTATGTATTGGACAATATAATATTATGATAATTAGAGTATGTATATGTAATTGTTAGCTTACTTTTGAGCCTGCTGCTGGGCAGCTGCCTTGTCCAGCTGCTTGAATTTGGCCAGCGGCGAAATGTTCTTGGTGGCAGCGCTGCCGCTCACAGTGCGTGTGGTAACTGAAACAAGATCGAAAAATTGGTAGGAGCAAGGGAGGGGGGGGGGGGCAAATTTAGTACAATCTGTTATAGTGTTCGATATATGTGAGCTGTTATCGATATCGATACCTTTTGTTGTTGTTGTGGTGACAACTGCGCCGCCATCTTTCGACTTCGTCTCGGTGCGTTCACTGGTCGTTGAGCTTTGTTGCTTGTGTTGTGCTGTACATGAAGAAAGGTTTTAGACGAATTGTTGTTGTTTGGAATGGGTAGGGGCAAAAAAAAAAAAAAAAAAAAACAGAAAGAAAAGGAAACAAAAAACCGGCGAGAAAAAAAGAAAGCAATAATTACAACAATTAGTCGAAATTGCATGCACATCAAAACATTTCAATCAACATCATGATTTAGTTAAAGAAGTTATTGAAAAATGTTTTCGAAAAAATTAGTGTTAGAATGATTAGTGAAATTATTTGTTTGTTTCTTGTATCTTGGCTTAGTCTAGTCTAGAGCAGGCAACAAATCGTATGCTACACACGAAAACGAGCGAAACGAAACAACGACAATTGCAAATCACTTTTTTTCTTTTAAGTCAAAAAATGTATGCTTGTTTACATATCAAAATAATATAAGGCAGCGCAACGAATGGCAACGAAACACGCGCACAGCTGGCAACGCTGCCAAGCGGCTGTTTCATGCCGCGCGTTCCACAAAACGTACAGTACGCAACAAAAACATCAAAATAATAAATAGATAAATGATGAAACGAAACGATCGCTCTCAGCTGTTGGCGTTTGTGGTGGTTGGTGTCTGGTTTCTGGTTTCTGGTTTCTGGTGTGGCGCTGGCGCTGGTGGTGCTGTTGGCGGTGCAACTCTCAGTATGTGCGTTGCGAGTACAAGAAACTTACAGGCTACGACATGCACAATACTCTTACACAAAATACAAAAAAAAAAAAAAAAAAAAATAAACGATCAACATGCGAAGAAAAGAGTGTGTGTGTGTGCGTGTGTGTGCGTGGAAAGCGTGAAAGAGCCAGCACAGCTAACTGGGCAGCTGAGCTGTGGCAATAATCAAAAATATATATGTGGTAGAAGGTGGCTAAACTCTGTGGGTGGGGGGCGGGCTTTTATAGTGTATGTACAAACAGAGATTGAGAGAGAGAGAGAGAGAGAGACACACACAGAGAGAAAGATTGTGTGAGAAAGAGAGAGAGAGCGCGAGGAGGGACAACATGGGATTTGCGTGTGTGTAAAAATGTTTTGTTTACGCTGGACCAACCAACCAACCAAATCTCGAACAGCCAACGCAACGCAACGGCAATGAAACGAAACGGCAATGAAACGTAATGGAACGTAATGGAAATAAAACGTTTAAAGCACTAGCTAACTTTGTACAGTTTCTTGAAAATTGAGGGGGGGGGGGGCAGGCAAAAGATAGAAAACAAATATACAAAAAATAATGTATAAAAAGAAATATGAGAAAATTAATCATATATATATGTATATATATGGGGTATTTAGGTGCAGTTAGGCCGGGCGGTTGTAGCAAATGGTAGTACATGGAACGCGCGATAGAACAAAAAAAAAACAACTAGCTGGCAACGCTGTTTTGGGGCATTTTGTACAGTTGGTGTGTGATATGGTTTTTTTTTCTTTTTTGTTTTTTGTTTTCTGTTTCTCACTCACAAATCGTAAAACGTTTCAAGTTCTTCTCGGAATTGCGGCTGCGGTTGCTGCATCTCGATCTCATTTGACGCGATTTGCAGCTGTTTTTTGCTTAATTCTTTATGGCATCCTGCGGTTGGGCAGCGCAGCTAACTCGGGCTGTCTGTGTGTGGGAGTGTGTGTGGGGTGTGTGTGTGTGTGTGTGTGTGTGTGTGTGTGAGGGTAAGCAAAATGAAGCCCGCATGTGGTCCCTCCAATCTAAACTCAGAGACTCGCCGCGAAACGAAAACAAATGTGCCAAACGGAACGAAACGGAATTGAAACGTTTCGCTGACTAGAAACTGGGCGTGGGAACTGAACCAAACGAATGAAACAAAATTATAATAATGCCCTAAGCCTACGCTCCAAATTAAGACAGTAGCGTATTTTAAATAGTTATCGATAAACGGTAAAACGGTAAACGGTAATCAGTACAGTAACAGTTCGGCTTCGTGTAAGTGTGTGTGTGTGTGTGTGTGTGTGCGAGTGTGTGTCGTTTGTTGTGTCCAGTTGCGTCTCGCTGGGCGGCTCAAACTGGAATGGCTGCTGTGTGTGTCTCGTGTGTGTGTGCGTGTGTGTGTGTGTGTGTGTCTGTGTGTGTAACAATCAAACGAGTTATCGACCTATCGAACTATCGATTTATCGCACAAGCCGGCGCCTTAGGCGCCCAGCATCAGCTGCTCGAACGCATCCTCCACATTGCTCTCGTCCAGCAAATTGAGATGCGCCATGTGCGGCATCGTGGCGCTGCGACTCAGCCCGCCGCCAACAGCACCACCCGCTGCACCACCAGCTGCACCACCCGCCGCTGCACCGCGCAACAGACCGAAATTGAGGGAAAGTCCCGCCGTGGACACATTACCATTTGAGCTGGAATTTAGCGAACTGAGCGATTTGCGTGCCGCCGACAATTTCTCGCTGGTCTTGGTGCGATTTATAGCAGATTTTCGATTCGCAGTTGTTGCCGATGTTGCTGTTGTTGTTGTTGTTGTTGTTGTGCGCAGTTCCTCGAGCTGTGCGCCCGTGGGCGACTTTTGGCCAGAGAAATAAGCGGCGACAGTGCGCTGTTTCTCGCCCAACTGCTCCTTGTCAATGCCCGCCTCGTACAGCTTGGGCACGGCCAGCGAATGGCCGGACTTGGTGCGTCGCAGCTCGCCGAATCGCGGCAACTGTTGCTGCTGCGGCTGTGGAGGCAACTGAGATTGCAGCGGCGTCGTCTGCTGCTGCTGCTGCTGCTGGCAGATCTGATGCCAGGAATCACATTTGCTGAGGCGATTCAGCCTGGAGCCGCCGTTGACCAGCTGCTGTTGGTGGTGCTCCTCGTCCAGGCTGCGGCGGCTGAGTGAGCTAAATGCGCTCACATTATTAAAGACTATGTTGCGCGGTATTTGATCCTCCGGCAAGGGCTCCGCCGCGCTGGCATTAACTCCTGGCTGCGGTGTGGCAGGCGTCTCCACAATGAGCGGCTTCTGCTGCGACGCAAAGCTGGTGGTGCAGCTGCTGCTGCTAATGTTGCTGATGTGCTGGCTGCTGCTGCTGCTGCTGCTGATATGCTGGCTGCTACTGCTTAGCTGTTTGTTCAGCTGCGGACTCTGATACGCATTGGGCACATAATGATGCCGCTGCGGAGGTCCGAATTTCTTTAGAAGCGGCGCCTGATCCTTGGGCAGCGAGGATTTAACTATGTCGGGCGTATCGGCGGGCGCGGAGGATTTATACGAGGAGACATTGCCGAGACTCTTGCGTCGCAGCTCGCTGAGCTGTTGCGCCCGCTGCATTTGTTGCTGCTGTTGCAATTGTTGTTGTTGCTGCTGTTGCAGCTGTTGCTGTTGTTTTAACTGTTGCTGCTGCTGTTCCCGCTGCAACAGTTGCTGCTGCTCACGCTGCAACTGTTGCTGGCGACTGGCGTTCAGCGCTGGCGCCTCCGTCGTATTCTGACGCAGCAGCTGGGCCAGCGGCTTGGCCTCGTAGCCGCTGGAGTCGCTGATGGTGTGGCTGCGCGTGCTCAGACGCGGCCGAGCTGGTTGCTGTTGCTGCTGCTGCTGCTGCGGCTTGGTGCTGCGATCGACGGGCGGCGGCACGCCCACATGCATGGGATTCGCCGTCCAGCTGGTCAGCGACATGTTGCTGCTGGCCGTGGAGTGCTCGGAGATGCGACGCGCGCGTTCCCTCAAGCTGACGCTCGACTCGTGCTCATCGGCCGAGTCCTCTAGCGGATAGGTGACCACGTACGAGGTTTGCGGCTCGCCCAGATAAGTGGGCGGTGTCGCTGGCGTCGCATACTGCGGCCGGCGCTTGGGCTCGTAGCTGTTGAGCTGCGGGAAGAGCGGCTCGACAAGCGGCGCCTGGTACATGCGTCCGTCTGGCGACAGGCAGCCCGGCTTGCTGGGCGAACTGGGCGCGGTCAAGGGCTGCCCTCGCTTGTTGCCCTGGCCCACGCTTGGGCCCTGTCCCGGTGCACTGCCGCCGCCCAGCTGCTTCATGGTGTAGAGCAGGGATTTGGCGGCACGCGAGTTTCGGCCGTAGATCTCGTCGTCGCTGACATGGGCGGCGCGTCTGGGTGCGACCGTGACCGCCGTCTGGCTGCGCGGCTTGCGCATGACCCTAATCTCGGCGCGGTATTCGTGCGGCATATTGTGATCCGAGTCCAGATCCAGATCATCGTCCGTATTATCCGTGAAAGCGGGCGCAGTCAAACAACTGGTCGGACTGTCCAAGGGGCTGGCATAGTCGAACGTCGTCTGAGCCGGCACAAATGTCGGATTCGCGCTGGTCAGCACAAGCGGCGCCGCCAGCGGATTGGTGAGCGGCTCCAGCGTCGCACCAACGCTGCTCAGGCAGGGCTGACTGCGATAGTTGGCCAGATTCGTGGCGCCGCGACGCAACGGCGCATAGTCCGCATAGGTAAACGAGATGTTGGTCGGCGGCGGCGGCGCCGGCACCTGCTGCTGTTGTTGATAGAGCTCCAGTTCCGGCTGCATGGCATTGGGCAGCGAGGGACGCTTCCGGAACTCGCTAAGCGTCGCCGGCGGCGCCTTCGCGCGCAGCGAATTGTGACGCTGCACATAGACGCCCGACGGCGACGGCTGCTGCTGCTGTTGCTGCTGTTCGAGTTGATCGCGCAGCGAGCAGGCCTCGAAGTGGTGCGCTTTGCGCTTAAAGTCGCTGTTGTCGACGCGCGGCTTGGCCAGCCAGGGCAGACCGATGGGCGAGTTGGCCGTCGTTGAGGCGGGTGAGGGCGAGGGCGTGTTGCTGTAGCCGGCAGCACGCGGCAGCAAGTGTTGCTGCTGCTGTTGCTGTTGCTTGTTGCCAGCAACTGTTGCTGTTGGCTGCCAGCTGTTGTTGCCCTTTTGGGGTATGGGCTTGTATATGCTTGGCGCCGGCGCCTGACCCTGGTCAATGGGCCGAAAGACGGACTGCGGCGCGTGTATAAACTGATTAAGCGGCGCGCCGCCAGCAACAGTTGCTGTTGTCGCCGATTGTTGTTGCTCGCGTTCGCGCTCCCTTTGCTGCTGCATGCGCAGCTCCATTTCCTGGCGTCGCTGCCGCTCCAGCTGCTCCTGCTGCTGCCGCTGGCGCTCGAGTTGCTGTTGCCGCTCCAGCTGCTGGCGCTCCAGCTGCTGCTCATAGTATTCGCGCTCGAGCCGCGCGCGCTGCTCCCGCTCGAAGCGTGCCTCCTGTTCGAGGCGCAGCTGGCGCTCCAGTTCCTGGCGACGCTGCCGCTCCAGCAACGCCGCCTGCTGCAACTGTTGTTGCTGCTGCTGCTGCTGCTGCTGCTGTTGCTGTTGCTGTTCCCGCAGCAATTGTTGCTGCTGCTGGTGGTGGCTGGGCGGCTGGGGGGGCTTGCCCTTGGTGGCGGTGGCCGCGGCGCCCGTCTCGAACGTGTGCTTGATATTGCCGAACTTGTGCGTCCAATTGGAGACAGATCGGGCGCCCGCCCAGCCGAGCCCGCCCTGATGGTTCTGCTTGTTGATGAACGCAAGGAACTTGTGATCATTTTCGGTCTTGGGCTCAAATGGCGGCACCACGTGCTGCACACGCCGCTTGACGCTCACCTGAACGGCGCGCTTCAGGCCGAGATTGGGTCCCGCCTGGCTGCTGCGACTGTGCTCCTCCTCCTCGTCCGAGTCGCTGTCACAGTTATTGTACTTGGCCTTCAGCTTGGGTATATCGATTGTATTGGCGCGCTTCATCAGCTGTTTCTTGCCGCCATTGAAGCGCGTCGCCGCCAACATGGACTCCGGCTCCGGCTGCGTCTGCATCTGCGACTCCGGCGGCGCATAGCTGGCAAAGCTGACCGCATAGTCGCCGGAGAGTGGACGCCTTGTCTGCGGCGGCTTCAGCTGTGCGGCGACAAACTGATTCGGCCTGTACAGCTGTGTGCTGGGCGCGCCCACAATGGCGCTTGAGCTGGCATTGCGCTCCAGAGATCGAACCAGCAACGGCGCAGACGCTGGCTCTGACTCAGCAACTGGACTTGACTTGACCGCATGCTGCTCCAGCATGAGCATGTCCTCCATGTAGCGACGCGCATCGGCGAGCTCCTCGCGACTGACGCCTACCGTGTGCCGATTGCTGCGCTGCCGCCGCTTGGCGAAACGCTGCCGTCCGCCCAGTTCCGTCTCGGCATTGGCCGGATCAGCTGGTGCTTCGCCTGCTGCCGCATCGCTGCCGTCCAGCTTCTCGGGCGCACTCAGTCCGCTCTGCAGGCGTGCAATTAGCGAGAGCAGCGCCTGCCGCTGCCCGCCATCAACGGCCAGCTCCTGGCCCAGTTTCAGGCTGCACTCGAGCCGGCTGAGCGCATCGGTGACCTCGTCCAGTAGACCGCGATTCGCATCGCTGCGATTCTGTTGCTGCTGCAGCTGCAGCGTATCGCGCAGTCCGGCGGCCAACAGCCGCAAATCCTCGCCGCTTTCGGTGCCCGAATCCTCCTTTGACGGCACGCTCAAGCGCTTCAGCTGTGGGCCAGACATGCCAGCCGCTGGCTTCTCCTTCTCCTTCTCCTGCTGCTGTTTGATATTCGTCTTGCTGTTCGCTGTCGGGTCTTTAGTCTGTGGCTTCACTGTGCTGCTAGATTTTTGGCTACTGCTAAGGCTACTGTTGGCTTTTCTACTGCTAAGGCTATTACTATTGCTGACAGCTGCTGCTGCAGTTGCTCCTAGTGCTGGCTCTGGCTCTGGTTCTGGCGGGGACTCACCCTGCACCACACTGTCCACTTGGCTCTCGGAGACCACCTGCTTGCTGAGCTCGACTTTGGCCAGCTTTTGTTCGATGCTGCCCGTTTCCTTCTCCTTCTCCTTCTCCTTCTCCTTCTCCTTTTCCTTCTCTTTCTCCTTCTCTTTGGGCTTGGCTGGCGCTGGCTGTTCCTCGTCGCTGCTGTCGTCGTCGTCGTCGGTGACCTCTTCAATTATTTCCTCATATTCGCTGGCGCTGCTCTCTTCCTCTTCTTTGGCAGCGGCCTTTTCACCGCCCGCCTTTAAATTTTGTTGCTCTACGAGAACGCGCGACGCAAACAAATTTCGAGCGATTTTTTTTTGTATACGAATGTGCATGAAATTTACATTGTGTATATGAGTGTGATAGAGCGAGAGAGAGAGAGAGAGAGAGATATAAAAGAGAGAGAGAGAGATATATATATGTGTATAGATGTAGTCAAAAAGAAAAACAACAGCAACAACGAACAAGAAACAAGAGGTATTGGATGGGGCTCACAATAAGCAAAGCGTTCGAAACGGGGGGTAAAAACAGGACGCTGCCCTGCAAATCTATTCAACTCGTTCGTTGTGGCAACGAGTGCTAGAGAGCAAAAGAGAGAGAGAGAGAGAGTGAGAGAATTTTTTTGTTGGGAGCACGTCAAGGGCCGAGCAGCAGCTGGCGCGATGATAAGCCTGCTGGGCCCTTGGCGAGACAAGTAACGAGTGCGCAAGCAACGACAGAACAACACAAGAAAAAAAACAACGAGTGAACGCGTGAACGAGTAAAGATGTTTGAACGTGTGAACATTGAGCGGGTGACGTTGAAGTAAAGTGAACGCAGAACGTGTTTGAGAATAACGAACAAATGTTCAAGAGCAACGATTGAGCGAGTTATTGTTAAAAAATAACGAGTGAATATCGAGTGAATAATCGAACAACGAGAAAGCAAGAGTTAACTAGTGAAAGTCGCACGAAATAAAATGTAACGAATAAATGTTCAACGAGTGAGCGTTGAATGAATAATCGAACGACGAGTCTAAGAGCAAAGACTCAGCGCTTAACGACAGAAAGTCCAACGAATTTAAATATAAAGTGGTACAGTTTTAAGTGAAGTGAATGCTATAAGAATGAACGCTGAACGGTCAACGAATCAAATAATGATGAGTAAGCTACTCAGAATTGAACGTTCGTCATGCTAAATTATAGCGAGTAAATGTTGAACGAGTAAGCGTTCAACGAATCAACGAACGATTTTAAGAAATAACGAGTTAAAAAATAACTAGTAAGCGTTAAATATTTGAACGTTTATAGGAATAGCGAGTATATGCTGAACGAGTGAACGTTAAACGATCGACGAGTTAAAGAAATAACGAGTAAGCATTGAATAATTGAGCGTTCACCAAGGTAAATTATAGCGAATAACCGGACGAGTGGACATTGAACGGGTCACGTTGAACGAGTTAACGAATAACGAGTAAATGTTGCACGAACAACGATTGAAATAACAACGAGTGGACGAGTAACGAGAACGCGTACATAAATATAGTTGATGAAAACGTATCCAAGTGAATATGAAAATACATATATATAATGAATATGGTTATATGAATGTAAATAGATGATGATGTATGTCTGACTGAACGACGAGTAATTTGCAATACCTGAACTGGATAAATCGCTCTATATTATTACTTTAGCCTAGCTACGAGTATGCGCTGTTTGCATATCTACAAGATACAAATACAGAACACAATCAGAAGCTATAGTAAGGCCAGAGATAGTCTGTGTGTGTGTGTGTGAGAGAGAGAGAGAGAGGTAGTTAGAGTAAGAAAATGATAGAGAGTGAGTGGTAGAGAGGGAGAGAGAGAGTGAGTGAGAGTGAGAGAGAGAGAGAGCTACACCTTAACCCTTTAAATATCATCATCTTGGCACTTGTCGACGGCCAAACTCCTTTGTATTAGGTGCTGGCATTTATGCTGAGGTTAGGTTCGGGCATTAATAAATGTATTGGATGACTTACCTTCGCGTTCCGCCATAAGTTCGCGTAAACGTGCACGGATCTTGCGACGCTCCTCGTACGTGGACGCCTGTTCCAGCTGAGGAGACAAGTTTTTAGTTGTTAGTAAAACAAATAACTAGATGGCAGCGCGCACTCTTGTCTGAGGTTATGTGCCAGATAGCCCCACAACAAGCTGGCAACGCTGCGCTGGTATGTGCTCTAAGATTATGCTCGACAGACATACCAATTGCCTCAGTAACTGCTCGTCCCAAATCTCCTCGATGTCACAAGTTGTCCGTGTAACTGGTGCTGAGGATGTGCTCTTACGAGTGCTGCTGCTGTTGCTGCTGTTGATGTTGCTGCTGCTGCTGCTGTTGATGTTGCTGCTGCCAGCTTTGCTGCTGTAGCTGCTGCTGCTGCTGCTGCTGATGCGCGTCGTTTTCACCTGAAATGCGCAAACGAAACAGAAATCAGCGAATGCTTCTTTAATTATTTTTTTTTTTCTCTCATTTTTGTTTATCAACCGGAAAATTTTCGTTGCCGCCCACACGAGCGGCTAGCACCCCTCCCTGCCCATCTACAGTGCGTGGCGAAAAGCAAACGCCAGCTGTTTTTTCTAGCTCTTCTTCTTTGGCTCTTTGGCTAAATAAAGCCGATGAGCGCATTCGCCGGCAACGCTAGCCAAAAAAAAATCATGTTGAACAAAAAACAAAAAACAAAAAAAAGGCCAAAAACAGATAAGAGAAATGAAAATAAAAAAAAAAAAAAGACAAAATCGTAGCAATTTGTCGTCCTTAGCCATGGCCAGACGCAGACGACGTTCGTCTCTTCCGGCTGCCTTTTTCTTTTCTTCTTTTGTATTTTATTTTATTTTATTTTTTTTTTATTGCCATGAGCCAATTATTTGCACAGCGTCAACAAATAAATGCTGCCAGCATACCTGGCGTATGCGTAATGCCACAGCATATTGCGCATACGCCGCATTGACGCTCGAAAACAAATAAACAAACTTTGATTTCAACAAAATCAATTTCTTTCCGTAATTCGTAACTCGAAAACTGTATGTATGCTTGTCCAATTGCGACAAATTGTAGCCCTAAAAAAAAAATCGTACATAAAACTTAAAACTAAAACAAATATGCACGACTTGGGGCTACTCTAGCTTTTCTAGCACTCAATCAATATACCCTTTCTTGCGTTAATAGCAAAAATTGTGTTACTTCACAAAAAGCAACTGAGTAAAGTCTCAAAAGCAGCTGACCAAGAATTGAGCAAGAATTTTGTGTGATTTGAGGAGAAAGTTTGCACGTCAACTAAACAAAAACGAACAATCGAGAATTTAGAATTTCTTGTTGCGCCTCTTTCAGCTGTGCTGGCGAAAACAGAAAATTGTTTCTCAAAGCACGCTGTGCCGAAGAATCTGCGCTGCTGCTTAAGATCGGCCCTCATAGTCCGATCTTTGTGAAATTCGCAATGCCACATTTGGGTCGAGTGGAGGCTATTTACTAGCAACACGATTTACCGCCGTGCTGTAGCCAAAAGTCGTTGACTCTGGCTCTAACAAGCTACGAGATAAAGTAAAAAAAAAAATATTTATCGATATGTAATCGATTTAGTAGCAGCTCGTCAAGTTATCGTTGATGTGTTATCGAACTTCAAGTTCTCAGATTCTCTCAGATGCACCAGCTGGATAGCTGTATACTATATACATCTTGCAATACGAGATGTCTTCTGCTGAAACAACACAACTTGTGTCGCATTTAATGAGGTTTCAGTTAAATGAACTCAACCTCAATAGCCCTTTGTCATTATTTTGGGCCATTTCCAGCAGGTTATCAACACGCATATTGCGTATCGGACAACTGTCTCTGAAGTATATTTGAGCTATATCCATCGGCCATTTGCAGAGCCCAACGATTAAATGCGTGCATAATGCATTTTAATTAAGTATACGCAACGTTGACTTCTGCCCAAAATCGGAAAAACGCGGCGAAAATTCAATGCAAAAAAAAAATATATGAAAATATTAAAAAATTATAGTATATTTTGTATTTCGTATGTACAGTGTCTCGGGCGTTCTGTTTTCCGACTTTTCCAACCCCCTCCGCCTCCCGCCAGCCCCCGCCTAATGCAACCAACTGACAGCTGTGCGAGTCACCCCCCGCGGCCCCTTCTCTGATGTGGCATTTTATTTTGGTTTTTCTCGTTATTTTTTTTTCCTCGGGCTTGCCTTAATAACAATTTGACCAAATTTGGCCAGCACAATATTTCAAAAATAACAAATACAAAAAAAAAAAGAATCAAAAAGAAAAACAACAACAAAAACATTTTTTTTTGAGTATTTTCAAATTTTCGAACACGTTTCGTGAGTTGGGATACACGTCGAGAGCTATTTTTGGCTTGGGGATTATTTAGGCAATACACACAGCACGTAACGCAAGAGAGAGAGAGAGAGAGAGAGAGAGAGGGAGAGTGAGAGCGAGAGGGAGAGAGAGAGTGAGAGAGAGGGAGAGCGAGAGAGATGGACAGATTGAGGGCAAGCGAGATATTTCCATATTTTCGTTTGTACGCATTAACAAAAACATTTAACTCGACTATATATACATAAATATATGTATGCATATATCTGTCTATATATATATATTTATATTGGTTAGGGTATGCACATGATGCGCAGAGTCGTATAGGTTTGCTGGGTCAACATGCAATAGATAGCGAATTTTTGTGTAATTTATTTAATTCGATTTTGCGTATTTGTTTATTAAATCGGGTGTCTGGGTGAAGATTGATCATATTTCATCTAATTAAGGTCTAACTTTATGATAAATGCCTGTTTTGCTTAATTCACTTTGGCAAATCCACGCTGGCACGTGAAAAATGTGGGGAAAATGAAATTTTTGTCGTTTTATTGAGTAAATGCAGATTAAAATTGATCACACACTCTCTATCTCTCATTCTCTCTCTCTCTCTCTCTCTCCTATTCTCTCTCTCCTATCT